CTTTCCCTCTTCCTCTGTGACTGTGTGTAGGCGCGCGTGCGAATGTGTATGTGTATGATACATGCATTAATATATATACATGTTGCGTACTGTGTATGTATGTGTGTCTGTGTACGTCTTTTTTTCTCTCTGTACACCGAACTGAATCTACTGCTACGTCGCGCCTCTGATGCTCGAATGTGCCTGGTGGACAACGGCACAGGATAGCAGCTGAAACGCAGCCACGAGATCGCGAGTTGTGAGTCGGACAGGTCCGTCTGCCAGCCTGTCCGTTTGTTCTCTCGTTCGTCCCTCTCTGCTTTTCCTATCCTCACTCTTCTTTTCTCCTCTTCTTTTTCTTTCTTTCGTACTCGATATTCTCTATCTTTTCACGGATAGTTTCTATCGTTCTCAGTCTTTCATCTCTTTCCTTACACCGGTATATATAACTATCCTTCTTTACCTATCGTTCTTTCTTACTCTTTCAATTTAACGAGACAAACTTAACCTTCTCTCTCGGCGTTTCATTCGTCTCTGTTGACGGTAGTTTCATCCTGCTCGTGGTTACACTGCGTCGCGACCCACGTGATCTCATAGAGTTTCTTTCTATTGGTCGGTCCCTCCCTACCTAACTTCGTCACTGACTGTCTGAAATGCATCGTGTTTCTACATTGTATGAGTGCATGTTGAGATGCCGTTTACTTCTGTTGAATAGAGCAGTTGTTTTCTACACATTTTACATGTTCATGATTACTGATTACACAGTGTGGTAAAAGTGGGTTTGTTTTAACTTGTCCAATGGATAGATATATACAAAAATGGAGATAATGTTACAATTAATAGGTAACCTATTTATTTTATCTTATTAGCAAGATTTTATACTGCTTTGAATGTATATTCCTTTCATATCTTGTTATAATCGTACAATAATATATATTGAGTTGTGTTGTGTAATGTATATAATTCGACATATTGTTATTAATCCTGTTTTAATTGTATTATATGATTATATATATAATACACGATTTTATATATATATATATATTATATACGTTATGAAAAATCTAAATAAATGTTATAAATGATATATATATGTATAATCAAATAAATTTTTACCAACTCTCTACATTTCTTTTTATGCGATACTACAGAGTATCATCAACGACATAATTTTCGACAGTTTTTAACTTGTTTACGTTATATTTGATAACCTTACAGAAAATTTAATCGATATAACAAATTCAGTTGATTTATGAAAATAACCAATAACAAATTTTGGTTATAGTTTAGATATGGCGGGGTTTTTTATTTTAATTAATGTTTTTAATTCTAAATCAGCCACAATGATTACTTTAGTTAGGTAAGTTACATAAAATGTACTATATTTTATGTGTCTAAACTGTAAACTATGTATGTATATTGCGTAGTATGACGATCGTAAGCGTAATTTAAGTGTGAAAATTGTTATAACAATTTTACGAAGTACATTATCAGTTGGATATTATATCATATAAATAAAGCTAAAAGAAATAGGAAAAAATTGGATGTAATGAATGCTTTTAAACGCAGGAAAACCCTCGATCTTTTAAAAAAGTTTGAACACAATAGGAAAAATGTAAAACAACTTTTTCTTTTAGAAAGTCATCGCATTTTTATAATTTATATTTTTTTTATATGTTTTGTGATTTTTTAATGTATTTTTAGACATGTGAATCCATCATGACATTTAATTTTAATAAACAACGTATTCGACTTTTAACTGATTTAAATGATGTTAAAATAAATTGTAAGGGGATTTTGTATTGGATGTTTCGTGATATTAGAATACAAGGTATCTATATCTCTGATATATAGTGCTAATATTAATTTCTGTATTAAGACAAATCTTTATTATATTTAGATAATTGGGCACTACTTTTTGCTCAAAAAACTGCTTTAAAAAATAATGTACCACTTCATATATGTTTTTGCATAATGCCAAGCTTTCTCAATGCTTCTATAAGGTATTACAAATTTCTTCTCAAAGGACTAATAGAGATTGAACAAGAATGTAAAACATTAAATATAAGTTTTCATCTTTTACATGGTGAACCAAATGTGAGCATTCTTAAATTCGTAAAAACATATAATATGGGAGCTGTGATTACTGACTTTTATCCATTAAAATTATCTATATCATGGATTGATAAAGTACAAAAGAATCTTCCTAAAGATGTCCCCATTTGTCAAGTAATTATAATTGTAGTGAATCTTGAATCAGATAATCGTTTGATATATTAATGTAAATCTTTTGAAGGTTGATGCTCACAATATTGTGCCTTGCTGGTATGCATCATCAAAACAAGAATTTAGTGCTAGAACAATCAGGAATAAACTAAATACAAAACTGGAGGAGTTTCTAACAGAATTTCCTCCTGTCATAAGACATCCATACATAACAAAACAAAAATTTAAAAACAATGATTGGGAAATAGCTTTGCAAAATTTAGAAGTAGATAAATCAACAACTGAAATTACATGGGCTAAGCCAGGATACAGAAATGGTATCAAGGAACTTGAAAACTTTTTAACATATCGTTTAAAAAAATATGGAGATGAACGTAATAATCCTTTATTAAATACCATTAGTAATTTATCACCTTGGTTTCATTTCGGTATGATATCAATACAACGTTGTATTTTGGAAATAAAAGAGTATAAAAATCTATATAAAAAGTCTGTTGAATCCTTCATGGAAGAAACTATTATTAGAAGAGAACTCAGTGATAATTTTTGCTTTTATAATGATAAGTATGACCTTGTTGAAGGTGCCTATCCTTGGGCTATAGAAACACTAAATAAACATCGGTAATTAATTTTGTTCATTATAAATTGGAAAAAGTGTATATTTTATTATTATAATTTTATTATAATTAGAACGGATAAGAGAAAATATATATATTCTTTAAATCACCTGGAAAATTCTGAAACTCATGATGATTTATGGAATGCATGTCAAAATCAAATGGTGATAATAGGAAAAATGCATGGATACTTACGAATGTATTGGGCAAAAAAATTATTAGAATGGACTGAAACACCTGAGATAGCTTTAGAATGGGCAAATTATTTAAATAATAAGTATAGTATAGACGGTTGTGATCCTAATGGTTACGTAGGTCAGTTTTATATTTACATTTCTATAATGATTGTTATAATAATTTAAAATGATATATTTTATTTATTTTTCTAGGCTGCATGTGGTCTATCTGTGGTGTTCATGATCATGGTTGGACAGAAAGAAATATATTTGGAAAAATAAGATATATGAATTACGAAGGATGTAAACGAAAATTTAATGTTGCCGAATTTGTTATGAAATGGAAAAAGAAAGAAACTGATGAATTTACATAGAAACACAATTATTAGTTATGATTACATAATTATTAATAATATATTAAGATTTAACCGTCCATTTACTCAATTTTAAAAGAGATATATTTCAGAATAGAAATTATTTTACTGATATTTATTATTTTTACTTATTGTTAACATATATCGTGTTTTATAACATTCATTAATAGCTGAAGTGAAGAGGGAACTGCGTATAATGAAATTAAAGTAAGCCTTTAGCGTGATCATAATGCAGCAGCCTTCAGACCTAAGAAAATACAGTTAATTTTATTTAGATTCTTATGAATTCCGTAGATTACTCCAGCAACAAATCAGTCGCTACAACCATATACAATGTATGTTTTATTTAGATCGTCAGAAATAAAAGATAAAAGCGGGTACAAACAAGAAGTAATCCTAGTGTAAACAATCAATTTATCTACTTTATCATAAAAAGCTTTTAAATCACTTCCCAAAGCTTCATGAACGACCTGCGAAGATAAATATTAAATTTTAATATTCCTATTTGTACTATTTATTCTAATATTAAATTCTGCATTTGCACTTTTTAAAATTTATTTTAATAATTGAGTATATTCCTTGTGATCCTATTGTATTTATAACCACTGAAATAAATTTGGCTACTTGCTCTGCAACTATTCTTATTTTTTTTAAGTTCATAATTATTTTGTCAGATACTAATATCCCAAGATATTTTCCAATTACACATAGTTTATTTCTATTTGGTAATATAAAATACAAAATATTTTGTCATTGCGATTCTGTTTCAATATCCATTTTTTTTTCTTTTCTCAAATATCATACGTTGCTATAGTTTTCACATCCATAAATACATATGAAACTAAGAAACAGATATCATGTTTGATTTTGTTATATTTGAATTTTTAAATTTCTAAATAAAATTACTTTTATGCTAATAGAAAGATACGTACATTTATACAAAATGAAACTGTATATATTTTCTTAATTTCATATTAAAAGTATATGTATACGTAGTATTGTTTTACTATTTTTAATTTCTAATAAAACATCTTAATAAATTGAACCGAATTATTATTATATTTGTTTAGTCTTAAATATTAATTAAACGATGGCGCTAAAACTAAATGTATTCTTCGCAACATGGAGCGCTGCTAGGACAGTAAGAATTTTTTCAATGCGATTTGACATCTATGAATCCTTTACTCTATGCATCATATCTAGTGTGCGCGTTCGTATTTCAACCTAACCACGCGCTGCAAACAACAAATAATCTTTTTTTTTTTATTATCCGTAAATAATAAATTCGAAAAGAATTATTCGCAATACTATCGAGTATCGTAACTATATAGTATAATGGGTAAAACTCGAAACGGGAAAGCTGCTGTTATATGTACAGCAATTGCGTTCCTTTTAATTATAATTGCATTCACCACACCCAATTGGCTTGAAACAGACGGAAAATTGGAAAATCCAAAATTTATTAAAATCGGTAATTTAATTTAAAATGTTATCATATTAACAAGAAGGTTCCATTTAAATCTTACATTGCTTGTTAAACATTTGTTATAGGTTTATGGCAGGTGTGTTTTCAAGGATTTGAACATCCACATCATCTGTATGACACAAAATTTTATGGTTGTTGGTGGGTGTTTGAAGAGGAATATTACATAATTCATGATATACTTTTGCCAGACTTTTTTGTTGCAACACAATTTTTCTTTACATTGTGTTTGACTTTATTATTAATAGGAAGTTTTTTAACTGTATTATACACATGTTGCTCACAGCATCATGATAAATATCAGATGCTTTTATGGACAACTGGTGGAAATTTGGTACTAGGTGGAATATGTGGCATTATAGCTGTTATAATATTTGGTGCACGAGGTGATGGTAGAGATTGGATGCCCAATTGGGAACATAATAACATTAGTTGGTCTTATGCATTAGCTGTATTTGGTAGCTTTATTTTGATTATAGCAGGAATATTGTTCTTGATTGAAGGCCGTAGACACAGAAAAAAACAAGAAAGAATATTAAATGAAGAACAAAAAACACATACAACTATTTAAATTGAACTGAACTTTACTAATGAAGAAGGTGAATGTTTGATAAATTATTTGCAATATTGAAGATCTGTATGCAACTCCTCTGTGAGTTTAGATTTATTTTTGTGTATGCTCTGCGCAGACTTTTTAAAGACTCTTTTATATACTTTAATATTTATACTCATTATTTTTAAAAGTATTATTAACATTATATACAAAGACCTTTTTTAGCTTATAAATGCAATAATTTTTTATATATTTTTGAGAAATATTAAAGATAGTTACATAGAAAAAAGTATTTTCTATATCTTTGTAATGAAATGTTTCGCATACAAATATTATGCATTTATTGTTTTATAAAATAATTAGTGCTAATGAATCCGTCCATAGAAGTAAGGGATCTTGTGAAAAGACTTAGAGTCTGTAAATATGTCTAGAATTAATTATCATAACTAAAATCTAATCACATGGCCTTAACAAAAATAAATATTATATATTTGTTGTATTCTTTTATATTAGAAAATTGTATGAAAAGTTAAAAGTAATAAAGTATCTTGTTTGAAATTTTTTAATTTTTTTACATATTAACGCTTGTTTTATTATAAAATTTAATTCTTTAATAAATATATATGTAATCATCGAAATTAATACAAATAAATAATTAAATTATAAAGGGTAAACACGGTCAAGTTGTGACCCATTTAACTATCGGAGGAAATAATTCAACGTGAGTTACGACTAAGATTGCGTGCACGAAGATCGACGTCAGGTGTAAGTCGTTGACCCAGTTTAGTTCTTATTTTAACCAGTAACTTCTACAATTTCATGTACTATATCGATCACACCTGAAAAACTATTACTATCGGTTCCGTATCATTCACTAATACTTAACAATGTTAAAAAAGCATAAAGTGATTAATAAAATAATACTTAAAATAAATAATAAATTTTAATTTCGCTATTCTTTTTCTATTTTTTTAGTTATACGCAAAAAATTAAGATGTTATTTTAATGGATTAAGTCATATAAATTGTCCCTGAATGAATCATGAACTGAATAGTAGAGAATGTGATATATGTAGATTCCAGGAATTTTAGTTAAAATTGATGGATGTGAATAAAATAAATGTGTAAAATATAAAACATTAAATTGTTTACAAACATTTTTAACGATTTTTTGGATCTATTTGTAACTTTAATTTTCAAAGTTTATTTTGTACATTTTTTAGATTTAAATAACTAAAAGCTTTGATATCTGAAAAAAATTGATGTATATAATATAGAATGTATTTTAGTATTACGTTTTATTCAAAATTTGTAAATTTAATAAAAAAAATAATTTAGATGAAATGTTAGTGACATAGTATAATTATAATAGAAATTTACATAAAAATTCCTATATGAATAGTGTCTTACATTTTAAACTTTTGCATATTATTTTATCACATATTTTTTTTATAAGAACTATTTTATTAAATATCTTATTAAAATAAAGTTCTTTTTAAATCTAATACCATAAATGTTTATTAAACTCTTAAAATGCATTTTCTTGCAATTTCATAATAGTAATTTATTGTTGGATCAATATTACAATCGATCATTTTTACTATAAAAAATGATAATGAATAACGTATTGCTATTAAATTTTGCACTTGATGACATAAAAATGTTTTGCCAAAGCTTTTTTAAACATGACTGATATATAAGGTGTATTAATTAAAATTGAGAACCTATCTTTTGTAATATCTGTTAGTTTGTATTCGTGGGATACTTATAGTTTTACAAGGTTAGGTTAGATAGTAAGTTACACGGTCACCACACAACATAACGTGTTGGGTGTGGTTAATACCGTGGGAGTTTTACTAGATCACTGGATTTGTATTGTTTGTCGTCTGCGCTGTTTTACATCGTGATTTCAATCATTCACGGAACGATTTGCACGATGAAGAAAAGAAGCTTTTCCGGCAATGTTGGTGTCGGTGTCTTTATCATTGCTTTTGTGTGTGTTTGCGTTGCATTCGGCACACCAGCATGGTTAGTGAGCGATTATCGTATTACTGGCGCGAAACTGGACAAATTAGGCCTCTGGACACATTGCTTTAGATCACTTCCAAATCCTCAAGAAATGGATGCACCTAGACGGTTTTTCGTTGGTTGTAGATGGGTTTATGATCCTTTTACTGCAGGATACTCTGATATTCGTGGTTTTCTTTTACCTCGTAAGTTTTCTCTTGTATTTTAATTATTTTTATCAATATTTATAAGTTTACTAAAATGCATTTTGCCACTTACTGTTTAATAATTGTTTATTCTTTCTTTGTTGCAGCATTTATGATAGCAACACAGTTCTTTTATACTTTGTGCTTTCTATTAAGTCTAGTATCATTTGTATTGATATTATTGTTTACTCTATGTTGTGATCCAGAACAAAAGCGTTATGTGCAACTTATTATGATAATTGGATATTTCCTACTTGTTGGTGGTATAAGTGGAGGATTGGCAGTAATTATATTTGCTTGTTTTGGAAATACCAATGGCTGGATGCCTGGACATTCCAATAATTTTTTTGGTTGGTCTTTTGTAATGGCAGCTGTGGGTAGTATATTTACTATCATTGCAGGTATACTTTTGCTTGTTGAGGCAAATGTTCAACGAAAAAAACGAGAATATTTAAAAGAATCTCAAACAAGATTTCAGCTTGAATCTCGTACATGAATTATAATATTTAAATGCTATAAGACTTTTGCATAACATTTTAGTACCAAAATTTTGTAATATTATTCCGTCCATGTATTAGCTAATTTTTAATAATAGTAGATTGTAAGATAAATACATACTTTAGTACAAAGTATATTATAAAGCAAGATTTGTATTTTTGTAAGTTTTATACATACAAGATATATATAACTATATCAAGTAAAACAGAGTAGGAGGTCTCTGTAAAATCAATTTATTGCTTTTTTTGTTATTTAACATCGTTTTTGGAAATTAAGAAATTAAGAACAATTTTAAATATATCCAATAAAAATGTATTTTTTTTTTTTTGATTATAATTATGAGAAGCTGTTGAATATTGTATACGTTTTACAATGTAAACATCCACTGCCAATGGTAAATTGATACATACAAAGTTTGTAAAGATATATAATTTACATAAATAAAAATATATAATAATTTATATATCTATTCATAAATGTAAATTATGAAAAAAATTGTTTTTAACCAAGCACAATGCATCATTTTTGTAATATATTTTTACTTCAATAAAGATGAAATGTTAAAGATAATTCTTATATATATATTTGTTATTATTCGTATCTAATACTATTATTTATTAAAGAAATTTAAATTAAAGTTTGTTTGATAGATCATTTAGTTAGAACATAAGTTTTGCGAACTTCTGAAGTACAGGCAGACAACTTATGAAATGCCAAATACATATGATATTGTTGGTAATACTGAAACGATGAGAGGTGTGGCAGGTTTATGATAAAGATAATATTTTTGGAATTTATAAACAAAGAATTTGTTAATGTAAACTAGTAGTCTGTATACCAACAATAGCAAATAATCGACATGTCTGTCGATAAACAAGAATATCACCGTGCGTCAAGTAAGAAATATTTCCTTTTAGTATTATATTAATTTCAAAATATTCATAACCTTTATTAAATTCTCGTATTTTTTAGACGCGGTAGTGTTTGGCGGAGTAATTACATATATTGCAGGATTATTGTTGGTTATGGCATTTACCAGGTAATAATTGTTGAATACCATAATTTGTTATGAAATATTAATTTGTAAAAAAATTGAGTTCTTTAGATACTATGGGATATATAATTAAATATTTTATACAAGCATTTTTTATTTTTATAAATGTGTTTTAGTAAATTAAATCGATTAATTTAATTTCAGCCCATATTGGATTGAATCATATCAAGAGACTTTCAGTAGTTTTAAACATATGGGACTTTGGGAATATTGTTTTGAACAATTTAGATATCCATATTATCAATATAACAAACAATTTGATGGATGTCATCACATTTTCTCAGAAGAATACTACGTGATTAGAGAGTGGTTACTACCAGGCTGGTTAATGGTAGTACAAACATTTGTCACACTTGCTCTTTTACTTTCCTTTTCTGCACAAGTTGTGATTGCATTGACTTTAGTTCGTTGGCCTTTGAAATTTGTATTAAATTATGAATGGCTACTTTCAACCATTGCTTTCCTGAGCTGTGCTATGGCAGGTAAGTAGGCATTTTTCCAATTTGTCATCAATTACATAAATATAACATGTATATAATCTTTAAATGGTTTCCAAATTTCAGGCACACTATTATTTTTAGGAGTATCAATATTTGGAGGTCAATGTTGGCGCAGAGATTGGTTAATGTATCCAAATTTTAACCATTTGTCATGGTCATATGGTTTGGCAGTTATCTCATTCATGTTCTATTGGCTAGCTGCATTTTTCTTGTATTTAGATGCGAGAGCCGGTTATAGGTTGCGTAAAGAATCTCGTAATTTAGTGATGCAAATGCAACCTAATTTGCAAAGTCATCAAGGATTATCAAGGGGAGGATACATATAATCCATTGTCATATTTATAATATTCAAAAAGGATTTAATCACAGAAAAATTTTTAACAACTTTTTAGTACTATTAATAACAAATTAAAGTTTATAGATCTGCTTTTAAAGTCACTCTGTTATGTGACACTATTTTGTAATTGAGTTTATACACGCGTATTTTCAACGATAGTATTTAATTCCATCCATTTTTTTATAGAAATCTATTTTTAGGCTAAGAGATCTATTTTTATATTTCTATATCATTGTTATACATTTACAGTGACTCTCATAAAGTCAAGACTATTTTAGAAGTTAGAACTTTTAAATTACAACATATTATCGAAATTAAAGAGTCACAAATATCACGTACCTTTGTTATTATTTTTTATTGCACAATTTTACATTTCAAGTATTAATGTCATTATACTAGATTTTATATCGTATATTTTGAAAGTACAATCAGTACCGTATGAGATTAATGCTCTAATAAACAGATGCAAAAATAAAGTAGGAGCCAATAAAAGAATCACTTATTTGGAATTTTCGAGTACACTACAGGATCCAATGCATATTGTACCGTATTTAATGGTAGATTGCCACCGAAAACAATGAAACTCGTATTCGTTATGTGTGACTAAAATTTTTTATCAGATTTGGACTGATTTTCATAAATTCTGTTTTTGAACTCAATCCGTGATAACATTTACCTTTGTGGTTTATAATTCCGATGTATTTTGAATTATCAAACAAAAACAGAAAGTAATTTAAATCATAAATAAAAAGTAAATGGAAAAATATTCATTTCATATTTATATACATAACGTTAAGAAGAACAAAGTATCTCTCAGTGTGCGAAAGAACGAATTCGAAGATGGCCAAAAAATACGTATTGGAAATCGGTGACAAGTGGTCACGAGTAGTATTCACGGCTTAATAATTATTTCGATCAACCATCCGCTACAGAAATCAATACCATTAACTACAATTAATGAGCTTTTATTGTCTTTGGATTCAACGTTGCACGAGAACAATCCTGTACCCACTCCTATTCTTTTGAATGGTAATTAACAAATCTTAAATCTGATAAACATATTCGAAAATCTTTTAATCTATTATCGTTGAATCTAACATAACTCGAGTTAAAAAATTAAGAGGAAAAGAAACTATAATAAAATTGGAAAGGAAAGAAAAATGAAAAGGAACAATAGCTGACGGGATAATTTAGTTATATATAAAAGTCGATGATCTAACATTCGCGCAAAATTAGCGAAGGATGGTAACACGTATCTAACTGTATTCATATTTGACAACTGGTCGACGGTCTGGCCACCATCTCCTAGACTTTTAATTATAGCTTTCCCAGGCTGGTCGTTACCAGCGACAGATATTAACCGCGTAGCATTCAGACCAAGGCTGATCAAGGCGTTGGCGATATTTCGTCCGACCCCGCCGCAACTTTCTCGGCTTGTACCGGCATGCGTTCTACCATCGTGCTGAAAGAATACGTCGATTATTGATCCGGAATATGGAAAAGATGCGCCGCTTCTAATCGCGCGTCAAATACTGCGGGGCTCGATTGATCGATTGTCTTCGAATCCTATGTGATAGCGGTAAGCGATAAGAAATTAATTTTGTCATCCGTTATTTTTTTTTTTTGGTCTTTTAGAAAGCAGTTTCTTCTAACATAAAAATATATTAAAATTATCTCATAACCAAAGTATATATATGTATAAAAAATAATAGTTAATTAAGGAAAAAAAAAGAAACGATTCTTTTTAAAATTGCGTATCTGAGTTGAAGGAGAGTTATTTTTAAAAATTTTAGTTACGATAACTTTTAATAACTAAGAAAGTTTTATTTTATGCGTTATTTCTTTCGATATATAGTTTTCTATTATTTCATAGTACGGTTAGGGTTTATAAAGCCGTTGTCGATTGCGACCATATCTATAACACGTGTCGTCTCGAGGACATCACGTTTGAGGGATTAATTTTCCCCACTTCAATACCAAGGATAAATACAAGGAAAGAAGAAAATTTTTCAAGGAAATCACTATGTACGATGCAACTTTCTCATGTCTTTTGCACACTTCTTCACGACGATTCAATTACGAGACAAGTATTCTGTCTGAAGGTACTTGCAAAGTCATCAAGCAGAAGGCTGGTAATTCAGATTAAAGGAGCAATTTCTTCATCTATTTTTCCTTTCTTTATCTTACTCGGTTTTTCTCAATTTTTTTCCTTACTTTCATTAAGACCTGTTTCTATTCCTTCTGAATATTACCTTTATTCTCGTTTACGATTATTTTCCGTGTTCATCTTTTATAAACATTTTCTCCTTTTAACATTCTTCCATTTTCCATTCTATCTGGTTCTCTTAATCATCTTTGTTCCCGCTGCTTATTATTTTCGTGCATCCTCCATATCGAAGTACATATGTACTTTCGTTTTTCTCTTATCGTACGGTTTATTTTTCTTGCTCCACTTTTCGTAAAGTTATCTTTGTCAGCTTTCGCAGCTTTTCACGGACAGCCACTACAACCCCTCCCCTCTTCCATGCATTTCTTCTCCCTCTTACTACACTTTCTTCGTTGTCGTCTTTCTATCTCGTACAACTTTCTCTTTTCAAATTCTCTCCTACATACGTTACCCCTCCTTTTCTCCTCGTTTCCCCTCCTTTCATCAACACACTTCTCTGCTTCCTTCCATGCACCGCTTTTATCTCTCTCACAATTATTGTTCCTCCTTCTAGCATCGAAGCATTACTTTCTATCCTATTCTATCCCTATAGCTATCGGCCTTCTTCCTGTCTTTCTTTCACAGATTTCTCAAATTACCTCTTTTCTCTCGAACTTGCGTTAACCTTCTTCCCTCTTCGTTATCCATTCTTTCACTCATCCCTCGCATTCCTTGTATCTTCTGAGGTATTCTAGTTATTTCCTTCTCGCTCGAATCCATGCCTGGCAGCCTCCTTTTATTACCTTCCCCTTTCGTACTTCTCTCTCTTCTCCTCACCGATGTTTCTCGCTACCATTTTGTTTTATCGTTTTGTTTCTTTCACACTCGTGCTTTTTTCCTATTTTCTGACCAATCTCTCCCAATTCTACTTACAACATTACCCTCCCACCTTTCAACCCGTGTACTCTTACAGATTTCCAACCTTCTCCCTCTCGCACTCTTCTCCTTCTCCGGTCACTATACATCCCACTTTCCTATCCAACTTTCTTCCTTCCACCACTGTCCCTTTTCTTTCTTGCTACTCGTACACCCTTCTTACCCCTCGCCACATCCGCGACCACAGATTTTCCACCACTGCTGCCTTTCCTCTCAAAGCCACGTTTCCCCTTCCCAGCTTCCACCCCTACCATCCTCGACCACCCCCATCGAGCCTTCTCCCCACCATACACCACCCTTTCTCTCGCATACGATCTACCTCGGTGGCCGCCACCGTCGCCTCTCGCGGATTTTCTCTCTCGTTTCATCTCCTTTGCGTGCAGCCGAATCGACCGTCGATCTCTGTCTCCTCGGTGGTCGCGCTGTCTGTCGCCGACACCGTGCAGCGCGAGTCAGTCCGGTTGCCTACCTCGGGCGCTGTTGACAACCACCCCTGTGCGCGAGAAACTCTTCCCGATGCTAACCGTATTACCACCGTCTCTTCCACGATAGTGGCAAGTCCCCGTGACAGTGGCCGTCTTCCTACCGCGAGAAACTTCCGGACAAACTTACGTGGTGCCATTGTGTGTTATTGAAAAAAATAAAAAAGAAAAAAAAAGAAAAAAAGAAACAATTTCCTACCATTTTTACAGTGTACCCGCGAGGGACGTATAAGCCGAGTAGTGATTTATTAGGAACCGCGTATATGCTAGTTTCGAGTGTCCGTACGTTTCGCTATGCGATACGGCTGTTCGCTAGAGTCGGTCGCCTGCTGCAGCAACGGGATCAAGCGTAACGCTAGTAGTAGCGATAGGAACGACAGTAGGAGGTCGAGGGAGAAGATGAAACGAGCGACGAATCGTGCGAGATCATGGTGGTGAATGGCAGCGGTAGCAGCAGTAGTAGAGGCAGAGGCAAACGGCGAAAGCCAGCGCTTCTGGCATGAACAAGGAGGACAACAGTCTCGGCGAAGCTCGCGGTCGCGGCGATGCTTATAGACGTGACGTGACCAGCACGTTCGTGCCCGTCTCGTCGAATCAACGCTCGTCCAAATTGTTCACGCTCGATCTCGCTCGTGATACCTGTGATCCTTATGACGATGTGCGTGTTCGATTGACGATGGTGTACCGTGATAGCGTAACGCGCGTTTAAAGGTCAGTAACGAGGTATCCGAGGGACTTCTCGAAAGGTCTCTCCCTCCTTTTTACCCTGTTCGTTTCCGTAGTTTAGTGGCTTTTCTCGATTTTCTGGCAGCAGCGAAGAGTCACGTGTGTGCAGGGCCGAAAGCCAATAATAACACCGTTGAAATACCTCCCTTGTGCCTCGGTGTTAGCTCCGGAGTCTTGGGTTTAGCGTGTCCTATAGTTTATGATGTTTCAACTTTCGCCATAGTCTTGGCTTATTTCCTCGCGTATCCAGGTATAAGCGTTGAAACGTGGTTCCATAATGGTCGAAGAACGAAGTCTAGGTTCTCTGGAAAAAGATTCTTCCGTTAGGATGTAACCAGGAGCAGACTAGCCCGCGGAGAGGGTGTAAGTGAATGGAGGCAAAGGTGAGACGATCGAGGCGGGGCCGTGAACGGGAGTCGAATAAATTTAGGTTCTGTCATTGAACAGCGTCAGGAAAAAGTAACGGGGCCCGTAGGAAAGCGATGATTAATTTCTTCGGAAAGGTCGGGAGGAGGATTGCATAACGCCAGCCCTCTCCTTCCCTCGTCCTCGGCTCGCTCGAGTTTCCCCCCTTTGACCCACCGTTTCACGGTTTTCCCTCCTTGGTATAGCCGGGTTCTCCTTCAAACGGTAACAAACATTCGCGCCGATAGTTAATTAAAAGCTCTCTCTCGCATACAACCGCTCCTTCTCATCTTCCTAGCAGTCCCTTTTCCTTTCCTGCTATCTTCTCCTCCTCTCCTTTCTCTCCTTCGCTTCTCCACGTTCAACGTATAACGAAGGAATTTTAATTAAAAAAGACACCGACATCTATTCTTCGTGGAGGTATTCGCGATGTCGTTTAATTCACTGGACAAGGTCAGATCTCTCTTCATCCTATGTCCCGTATCTAGAGAAGATATGTCTCTTTCTCTCTGAAATAACGAAACAACGAAGGCAGAAAGAAGGAGATCGATTGTAGCCGCTTTTTCACCTGTATTCGTACGAACCTGAACGTTGACCCAGCACATTGACTGTGAACCTCATCTTTTGAACGTTGTTCTTTGATACCATAGATACCAGCCGCTACCGTTAAACGATATTGTTCGGTAATTTTGTCCGTTGGGTAAGGATTAATGCGAGAATTTGTCCATGTTGTCGGGTTTTTTCTTCTAACTGGCTCGTGTATTCGAGCAAGCGCGCGGAGGGCTTAAACGATCGATGGGCCCTTAACTTTCTTCCGTGTTTCATTACAATGCACCACTCCGTTTCACACCGTACATATAACATCGGTGCACGAGAGTACGCACTTCCAAGAGTACAGATAATCAACGTGATACTCGCAGCTTGTTCACTCCTCCCTCTTTTCTTGCACCCTCTTCTACCTTTCGTCGGAGATTCTAGCGAATTTATCGACGACGAGATTTTTTTTGTCCCGCCCCGTCTCCTCGTCTCTGTTTACCCTCTTTCTTTTCTTAGAACCGCGCACAACGTGCACTTAGCTACTCACACATACATATATGTACACACACCTGGACATGTGTGCATTCTGAAGCACGGATGCATGTATCGTCTCCACTTCTCTCTCCATGTGTTTATCTATACACGTAGCTACATATATTCCGACACGAGCTCGAGAGAACTCTGGTGCAGTGATTCCCAACCGTACGTGACTACGTGCCTACGTTTTCGAGCTGTGCCAAGAATTCGAACCCGTTAATTCAGCTGTGCATCGTTCGGACATTCTGTCACGTTTCCCATTTCTGTCGATCTCTTGTTTCTTCCAATCAGACCCCAGACTTCGTTTTATCCGGTAATCGCTGTGGACGTAAGTCGACCGACATGGTCTTTGTCACTGGCGAGCTCTGCTTTGGAGATGCTTTAAATAGGTTCGACCATCTTGAGTTTATATATCTTGTCAGCTCAAAGGTTGTTCGAAGAGTCAATTTCTGTAATTGCAATGCAAAATTATGACGAATAAGCTTTAAATAAAATTCGTCGAAATGCTGAAACAATAACGAAACTTGCAATGCAAGGGAGAAACAAAAGGTCCAAATACGATACCAAACGAACTGAAGTAAGTAAATGGAAGCGGTGAGAAGCATTTAGGTCGTGTTCCAAGCATATTCTTCTGTCAGCGATCGGATGAAGGCACGTGACTTGGATTTTCCGCTTCATGTTCGAATAATAAAATAGCCAACTCCCTTTGACGTCTCCTATAAAACAAACTTAAATGCAAACTGTTTCACATTCACGCCATACACAATCCATGCGTGTATTTCAAACATCCACTTTCCTTTTCCGTATCCATTCATTGGCATTTGCAATTCATATGCGGCTCTGGGAATCGATACGATTCAAAGCAAAATTCTCATTAACGGAATAGACACCTTGCGCGTATTTACCATCAGCGAGTTTTCGGGTCGGGGAGCAATAGACCGATGAATGCTTCCGTGGAGGATTGCCGGCGGAAAGAAGCTATCAGCGTTGGAGGTAACGAAGGGTCGATCATCCAGCAACATCGTCAATACACGTGGAACATTTAACTGGATTCCGTCGGTTCTAAATGTCATCCCTTATATGTCATACCCGTTGCTATAAATACCTTGTTGATATGAATTCGTTTCACGACGATGATCGAGCCGCGACATTTCGTCCCACGGTCGCTTCTCTCGTCTATTTGTGCGTTGTGTACTTTATAAAAATACGTTCATTACGCTTCGATGTACCTTCATCCACCTTCTCGCGTGAGCGACCATCATTCCCTTTAATTTGAACCGAACGAAAACTAACTCGGTGTGACGTAAGCCGACTAATAAGAAACGCGATCCCTGATGCTACTGCTGATATGATTTTTGTTAAAAATAACCGGTGGATGGTAGCTGCGTCTCCAATCTATCTGACGGTATTATCCCTCTGGTGACTTTGAAAAATTCCTGGCTCTGCGTCATATTTCTCTGCCGTGCGATGGATCCACTTATTAGACGTTGAAGAAGAGTCTGTATGGATGACAGAAAACTTTCTACTGTGGATAGGGATTTTCACGAGTCTGTTTAAACATAATCTGTAACAATAAATCGAATTAGTACGAATCCTATTTGATAAGACTGCTATATGGGATAGGATCTTTTCGTTTTTCAAACATGAAAAACGATGTATAATTTCAACGTAGTTTTCAGATTCTAGCGACGACCGGTGCATATACAGAATACCTTTCGTTTGAAATTTTCATTGGCGATGTTTTTCGTACTAGCATGTTTACTTTTCCTCTTCGTGCGCCGTTTCGTTTCGTTCATTTCGTTATCGTTCGTTTCTTTCTTGCCCACGAAGGGAACACGACGCAACATGACTGGCCGCCTAAGGGAGATCGATAATAGAATTGCCTATTGCACGCTAGAACTGTCAGAAAGAAATACAATTTAGCGAGACACACGCTAGTGACCCGTTCGTGCCGTTTCGCGGCGTACAATGTTGTTTCAACTTGATCTATCACGACGAAGGCTAATAATTACTCTCTACTCTATCTGTGTGACGCTTTCTGTGCATCAGATAACGTGGTGCTGTGCGTGTCCTTCGTCACATCGAGCAAAGACATCTTTCGAAGCTTGGAGAGCTAAAAGTTCTTCGATAAAATCGTGATACAGTCGGTGGCTTTGAGAAATCTCTCGCTGCATTAAACTTAATCCATTACAGTCCAAGAATTTTTTAATTCCGTCGATCAGCGATTACAAACACAATTCTGGAATGGAAAACATTTCGAAATTAAAAAATATTGCTAAGCAAAGAAAAAAGATTAAAAATGTTTGTGAGTTTCTTAATAAAGTAATCTTACTCTCTTCTTTCATCTCCACCGGTGAAAACGCAGCCCAATAATAAATTGAGGATTAATAATGCCTCTATAATGGCATCAGTGGAATGTAAAGGGTTGAACATGGTAACTGAGTTTAGCTTTTTCTTCTTTCGCATCTCTATGATACACCATTTTCTTTTCTTCATTTACGAAGAATAACGATATAAAAGTACCCATATGTTGATTATATAAACTCCATTTTCTTCTTCACGAATATTAAAAGATTTTACATACTTTCTAAATTTCTTTTAAACGTTGGCAGAAAAAGTAACCGGTTATTCTGAAAAATACGTGCACCCTGGTAGCCCAATTCCGCTATCCAGATGTCTCGACAACTTCAGGATTAATTTCTTCATTTCGTGCCTCTAATATCCACGCCAGGTTTATATCGGTGAACTTTATTGCCTCCCTTTGCCGTGACTTTATTGATGCACATTTCATTCGCTTTAGACCGATATTTTTATCAATTTTCGACGTCTACCCTCGTTTCCTGACAGAGAAAGAGAGAAAGCCAACGGAACTGTGACGCTTTGGTGTCCGATATTCCGCAAGATAAATCGTTCCCTATCGGGAACTTTATTGCTTTACATCGTTGACACGAATCTGTGGCGTGGGGCGCGTATTGTTACCACAGCGGAACAAAAGACCAAACCGTTTTGGCGACACTCGATCGGTTTCTGTTTCGATCGTTTACCTCGGATGGTACCACGCTAACGAGCGCCATCAATTTTGGGTAGACACAGGAGTTCCTTGTCTGTCTTAGCTTACACGTCCTCCAAAGAGACCTACGATAACATATTCCAATTTAATTTGTAAAGAAACAACGTGACTTTCAACCGTGTGCAATTTTTTACGAATTTGCAGTAAGAGTTAATAACGCGACGTCTATATTCATTTACCATTTTGCGTAATAAAAATAGAATAATAACGATGATTAAAGTCGGTAGAATCGAAAGGACCGAGATACATAAGCTTTATTAAGATAGAATTCGAGGAGATTGAAAAATAATACAATGGAAGTAGTAATTCATTGTTCCAGTCGGACAGTAACTATGGAGCGCATTAGTCAGACAGACAATTGGTCAGGCGGTCGGTCCGGACATTGTAATCCCTAATCAAATCGGTCCTAATCAATCTATTAACACAGAGGCGACACAATCCCCTTAACGCAGTGAACACAGACTGCTCGCTGTAAACTATCGAGCCATGCAAGCATGTTCGAGGCCTGTATACACACCATGAGCCATTCGATCAGAGGCTTATTTTTACAGCGAGCGATCAGTTTTCGCTATTGACGTCTTCATCATCGTTATCATAATATCTTTCAATTTCTCTCGGTATAGGGATCGTTAACAACGTGATTATAGAGGACACGAAAGAGAAAAGGGGAAGAGAAGAAAAAAAAAGAAGAAGTAGAAGAAGAAGTAGAAGTAGAAGTAGACGTAGGAAGTACAAGAAACACAAGGGAAGGAACAAGGAACAGCGCAAGACCGGTTGGCCGAGAAGCCGCAATAAACAGACGACTCCTGTCGGGGTGTATAATGTGGCTCGCGTGACAGACGCCGTTTCTCACTGCACATTTCTCGTCTACCTCCACGGAGGAGGCTCCCCCGGTCTCAATAAACACACACCCTCCCGCTTCCATTCTCTATCCGGACGGTATAATCCTTAACGACGAGGACACGCGTACCAGGGAGGCACGATAGTATGATGGTGATGCTGCTGCCACGTTCAGTCACCCTGCAGTCGACGCACAACCAAAAGACAGCGAACAAGGACTGCAGTGCGAAGCCGCCTTTCTTATTCCTGCTCGACGGCAGTCAGGAACATCGACACTCCATAGACATCACTACCACGACGACAACTAACAACAATAACAACAACAACAACATTAACAACAATAACAACAACAATAATAACAACAATAATAATAATAACAATAACGAGGACATACTCAAAGGAGTTAACAGAAGAGACAGTAATCGTTCGTACGTCGCCGACGAGGCGGCGGCGTCGGTGACGTCCCAAAGACGCGCCGACTGTGGCCAGGACGTCGCGATGCGATATTACCGGCTCTGGATCTACACCTGTAACTTGGTACTGCTCGGTAGCGCGCTTGGCTTCGCCGCCGCGGTCTCACGAACACTTTTATTCACCGGTGATCCACGTCGGTACCTGGTGCCAGGGGTGCCCCGTGCATTCGACCCTACAGCTCTTTACGCTTATTTAGCATTGGCCACGCAATTAGGCTTGGTGCAATTGTTGGGTTGTATAGCGGCGAGGAGATTGAGCGCGAGACTCCTAAACGCCTACTGGGTTCTGCTTCTGGCGCTTCTCTTCGGCGACGCCGTGATCGGAGTCGCCTGGGTCTTCCGGTTTGAGAGGATGCGCGCCGAACTCAGGCCCACTCTCAGACAACGATTGCAGGTCAGTATTTTTATTCTCTATTCGTTCTTTCTTCATCCTTTTTTCTGTGATTTTTCGTCCACAGAGTAGATGCTTTGTTCCATGCTTGGAGGTATGATCAGGTATAACAGGATCTGCAACAGTATTCTATAGTATTTACGAATAACTTTTTGTTCGTAGACTTTATTAAATTTACGTTTCGTTACCTTTGCGTCATCCTGTACTGGTTGGAACTCGTATTATCCCGGGATTGAAATCCTAGTCCTGGTTCAGGGATTCGGCCATTAGATTTTCTCTTTTCTTACTTTCGCTGATATTTAATCTCACAGGTGTAGAATCTAGACAAACCTCCTGTAGAATTCGTAGTTCGTTAAGATTCTCCTTCTATATGAATCTTTGTTATAAATAAACTTCGATTCGATACGACTTTGTCAGGGCGCCTTACACGAGCGAACTTCACTTTTGGCTCTCAAGGTAGCCGCGTGGCAGGTAGAAAAAGTTGAACGTCAAGGCTCAGAAGGTCTTTCCAATGCGGAAACTTTATATCCGAGGTACGAGATGAGGCTGCAAATCAGATTCCAATCCCCGACAACGATAAATCTCTCCTCTTTTCTGTTACACGAAATCGCCGGCCAGATCGATCGTGGACACATCTTCGACGAATTTTATTCGGCCATTTGCTCGTAATTTATCGTGTAATTTATCGAGAATGAAATACATCGGATCGTGATACACATCATTTTATTCGGGGAACATGCGTGTCGTTACATAGATTGCACGTGGGAAATTAGTGCAAGATAGAGCCGGGGTTTGATCGTGCAGACAGATCCTTTTGAAACGTTCCTCGAGTTTCCAGTTGCTGATCGTATCAAAGAAAGAGACGGATCTCGAGGAACGTACGACTAAATCGCGGAGCTTTATGCTCGATGAACGAGGAGGCTATTATACGCATGTCGAGGGGAACGTTGTCGTTAAGCGAGGAATAAGTGGCTCGTTTTCGCGATAAGAGAATCGGTAATATCGCGATCAAGAGCTCTGTCGATGGATTTCTTACGAGGGAGTAAATCAAACCTGACCCAAACCACTTCGTTCTTTCTCGGCTTGAACGAAAACGGGTGAAAACGCAGGCGGGGTGGAAAGAGGAACGATAGACATAAGAAAAGCTACCCAGGTGGTCGGGAAATTGTCGAAGTTCGCGATATACCGCGTGTCTTAGCATTCATACCTGCTCGTTCGAATAATTTAAAGCGTCTCTGTTGGTTCGATCAAACTTTCACTCGGGAAGTTAGAGGCTTCGCGCCTCTCCGCCCTCGACTCCTCTTCGACCGAAAGTATCTTCTTCGAATTGTCGTATCGACGGACGTACGAGGATAATTTTTGTCCGGAATTCGACGTGGAATCGTATTAAGGCGGAGCCATAAGTGGTGCAAAAAGGAGCAGAGGACTCGGTTTCCGTGGTTCCGAGGAGCTCGAGGAAGCAACGAAGAATGGCGGAGGCGTGGCACCCCTTATCACTTCTACGTGACATTCAATGAAGTATCGACCAGTGAAAAGGACAGGGTACCCGGTGTCGAAGTCGGGACCGAGTCCAAACACTCTCGGTGTTGGCAGAAAAATTGTCGCTGAATCATAAATAGGATGATGTCTGACTTGGCCAATAAATATCGTACTTTTTCATTCCTGTGCTGTTAAGAGTTCCCAAACTTCATTGAATCCGCATTTTCGTTGCGTTGACGATATTTTACTCGATCTTCGGGCTTTTACTTCAAACATAGCGCGTGCCCGCTCGAAACGCTATTCCCGGTACCGTTTAATCGATAAACATAAAAAATATACACCGGTGACCAAAAAATCGATTTAATCTCCTCTGTAAGAGGAATAGGATATAATGTCAGTCGTTAGATATCGGCGGATTATGGTCGGAGTGTAGGTTCAAGCAAATGTTAAAGCGACTTAGATTTTATATGCTCTTATAGTGTCTTCGGTTTCTTTAATTACGCACATGTCATTACAATATTTTGCATTTATATTTCCACTGTGATTTAAATGACACATTCATTCCTGACTTGTCGAGCAAAGGTACATATATGTTTTGTGGCACGATACGAATATTATTTATATAATAGTCGACGTAGAATCGTTCAATAATTTATAAACTCGTGCACTGATATTTACGCATTTCCTGGTAAACTTTACAACACGAAGCTTCTTTCTCTTTTAACACTTGACATTAAATCGTGTACAAAGCTGAAACGCTGGGAGAAGCAACGACCGAACTTTAATTCTAAAACGGACTTTTAATTTAAAATCAATTAACTTGGTCCGCCATTCTGAAGAGAACTGAAGTAGATACTTGGTGGAGCGAATAAAGAACAAATTAACATTTTCGATGAGCTTGCAACGAAAAAGGCTAATGACTTGGTGGACCAAGACTTTGAACGAATCGATTCCTTGCGAACACTTTTACTTTCCGCAAATGCGTTTATTTCCACTGAATTCTTCATTACCGATTGCGAATTTTAATCGCAGTGACATCATTTCTATTTATTCAACGGAAACAAGACGAAACTTCAAGTAACTTTAAAAGAGATAATAAACCGTTTAAAATTTTGTATCAACGTTAACGTTGATATATTATTGCGATGGTGCACATGCTATTCAGACATCTTGAAAAATCCTCTTCTTCCATTTATTTAAAAATTTTAATGGTACTATTTCCTCGATATCGCCGGGAAAGTAATTTTTCTGAAAGAATCAGCGAACGAGTGAAAATTCGAGAAGATATTTCCTTCTCTGTTCCATTGAATTCAACGTGGGTTTGGAAATATTTGAGAACGAGCCGGCTTGTGTAGCTAATTAAGAAACAGTGAACTAGTTTACTGGCGCCTCGTTACTCGCCGCGATGAAAAATCAGTGTCACGGGGATTACTAACAATTCTAACCTTTCATCCGTTTCACCTCGTTTCTGTATTCGTATCCGCAGTCATTATTCTTAGCCCCGTTCTTATCTAGGTCGATCGCATAATCGACGGAAAATGTGCGTAACCTCAGATAATCGACCTGGATGCATAGAACCATCGGGTCGCCTTGTATCATCTTTTTCGTTCTTCCAAAATTTCCTTTTTCTTCGAAAATCCATTATCGAATATTCCTCTCTATCTCTCGCACTCGAATACCTACGGAAAGGACACATCGTGTTATACTAATTGATACCCAGCTACAGGTACCATCGTGAATCCTTGCTCGATTTGAATTCTTCCAAAGGAATCCAATAAAAATTCCACGATGGTAATTTAATCGTTTCCTGGACTTCATACTTGGCACCAAAGTCTATCTTCCAACTTGTAAATACCCGTTCGATATCGAAACCAGACTTAAAAATATCGACGTAAAAATATCCGCAGCCGGTCCCTTTCGGCGAACGGTGCGTAAATTTAGCCCCGTCAAACATCGTTCATCCTGAATCGATGATGTTTCGAGGGAAACCGAGAACTTCCTAGTTCACGTCGTTCACGCTGCCGCGTACAAACAAACACGCGAGTTTAACATTAACAGAATCGTTAGAGAAATTCAAACAGAGATTTTTCATCGCAGATGGAGTACGGCAAGGATCTACGATTCAGCGAACAGTGGGACCGTTTGCAAAAAGAGTTTACCTGCTGTGGCGTGACCGGTCCCAGGGATTTCGGTGCCCGATGGCCGCAGACCTGTTGCGGACCCACCGGCAATGTCAGCGATACCTGTCAACAACCATACGCGAAAGGCTGCGAGGAATCGCTGGTACGATGGCTACGGAAAACCGCGGATCTGCTGTTCGTATTGGGTTTCTGCGTGATCGCGTTTGCCAAATTATGTTTCCTGGGGATACTGCGCTACGAGATAAGGGAAATGATACAGAAGATACGTCTGCTTCGAGAGCCCCCACCGCCGGCAACCACCCTTGCCCAACCACCCTTCTCGCAAGTGATACCGGAAGCGACGAACAACGGAAGCATCGTACGACGCACGACTTTACCTAACGCTGTTACTCCTTCCGGTGAGTTACGTAGAATCTGACTTTAGATTAAGAGATAGAAAAAGTATGAGAATCTTATGAGTGAAATAAAAAGCTAGAATAAAGGTGGGTCATCATTGTAGTCGCATAGGCTATTCAAACAGAGAACAGTAAGTACGTATCTATAGATCGAACCTGAACGCGTAGCACTTGAAAATTTTGCGCTTTCTTCGTCCCTATTTTACAAACTTCTGCAACGAACCCCTACGGAGCGATTTTCCATCGGCATCTATAGAGAAGCTCGCGTGAAAAAGTCTCGTACCAGTAATTACTCTCGAGGATTCGAGTTCTTTGTATTGTTGCGCCAACGAAGCCACGGATCGAAGTTGAAACTGTAAATGAAAATTGAAGGATTGTGTAAGATTACATCGCTGTATGGTATCGAGCAAGCGAAGAACAAAGAAACGCGATCCACGTAAACGTGGCAACGATTGCACGAGGGTTGCCTCACCAAACTTTTCACGGAGTTTTCCACTCCTGGGGAAATTCACGGGGGGAAATGTAGCTTTCCTCGACTCTTATACAACTTGGCCATTAGCAGGCTTTCCAGTGTCCTACGTGGAACAGACGTTTCAACGTTTACCAATCGCGTGGATCGTTCTTAACGTTTATTAAGGTCGTCCACGAATCCTCCTGCACCCTTTTCTTTACCTTTTTTCGTTTCTGCGTCGACTTCTCGCAGTTGGCTGGCTTCGCAGTCAGTAGCACTTACACGGTTTAAACGACGCAGGGGCGTGCCGAAAAGATCGGATTAACAGCGAAAACCTAACGAGAGGTAATTGGATAAGCATGAAGTTAACCGAACACGGTTCACCAATGTCGCGTAATGGGGCAACCGGGAATTTGGAACGAGAGGAATCTTTTTACGAATCCTTCATCCTTATTATCCACGCTTATTATCTTCGGCATACTTCCTATACGCGAGCAGAAATCGAGAACGAAGCTCGTGAATAGCACGAAACGAAACCTCCGAGAGTTCCTGGCAAGAGACCGAACAATATACCGCGAAGCTGACCGGAACTATACCCGGTTAACGAGATTCGCGGAAGATAAAAGTAGTTCAGGGCTCGCTAGAAAATTTAGATTGCGTCGATTGTTCCCCGGACATGCGATTTCTGCGGCGAATAAATATATTTACAGGTTACAGGAGATACATCGTGGTAGCGTATCATCGTTACAATTGAGACACGCGAGTTGCAATCCTCATATCGTAACTGATCCTCTAGAGATCTATATTTCAAACATGGCGAGCGACGAGAATATTCGTTGCTCCAATTTCCAGCCGAAAATTCGGGGAAAAATTAGAGGAAACCGATAACAATATCGAATTCGTTGATCAGAAAGTTAACGAAGAAGTCGAAGGGTAGAACAGGATTGCTCGAAAAATAATTGGCATGGACGATAAAGGGGTTAACGACATGGAAGAGCCGCGTGCATTAAACCGGGCACGGAACGAAAGTGGGAACACGTCGGGCTCGTTTCACAGGCAAATGCATAATTCTATGTTGAACCGGCGATCTTGGTCGGGACTAGTCATTTAAGTAATACACCCTACACGTACACGTTGATTCTGCACGTTCGGGATCGGTGTAGAAGAACTAGGGCATTGCGTGCTCGAGTATAATAAGTATTTAGCACCCTGCTCGTACCCGTCCCGTAATTACACCAACGATGAAGCGGATTTAAACTTGGAAGCTAGGCCCGTGCAACCGTGTGTAGGTTTCAGTCAAAGGTCACATCGTCGAACGATAAGAAGAACGCTCATATCGCGCTGATCATGACGTGAAAAGTGATTCTGCTCAACGTCTACCATTGTCGTCACATTTTTATCAACGCAGACCATCTATCCGATTTGTTTAAACCACCGATGAGGAGATTGTATCGATTTCCTCTGTGTGGATTCTTCTGCAGATGTTAAAACGTTGATAGCGTATATCGTTATGTCCGCGAAGTTTCAAGGGAACCTCAGTTTCGCAAACTGAAACCCTCGGGCAGTGTCTCCGAGATCTCTCGATCATTGCTGGCTGCTGAAGAGACAGGATGAAGAATGTTTCTTTGAGATCGCGTCAGCTGTCGCCTTTTCTAGAACTGATCATTTGTCTGCCCTTTCTCGAAGCGTCTTTTATCCACGATAAAGAGGAATCCTTTACGATAATTTCCTCGACAATGGAAAAAGGAAAAAAGGAAAAGAAAAGAAGGAGAACGTTTTCTCTGTCGTTTTTCAATTCCATAGACAAGGATGAATTTTCGGTTGGAGCCTCTACCTAGACGAATAATTATTCTCGCAGACTGCTCGATTGACGAAGCAACTTCGTTGGATAAACTTTGTAGCCTTTAACAATTTTCCCAGGTCCTTGAAACGGTCAGGCAGAGAATCCGTAACGCGTGCACGCTGCATCCTCGAAACACGTGCAGCTAAAAATAATTTTATACGCCTGTCCGTAATTGGTGGTCGATCAATTTTTAAAGAACAGCCAAGAATACGAGAATTGATCTCGAAACGGACGAATCAGGATGCGAAACTACCGAAGTCTCCTTTTAACGGGCCAGAAAAAGGTGATATCAGTTTCCCATCAGCGGGGAATGTTCGTCCAATCTGTTTGCATGGAAATCAAAGGGAAGACGGTGACATTTGCCTTACCCTAAACGACCATAAAAATACCGATCTTATTTTTCCCCTCGCCTTGAGTAAGGGGGAGAAAAACCGAGGCGTATTTTCGAATCGGTTATCTCCCGTTAACATCGAGTCTGGATCCTTCCAATCGATGGAGGGTATATCCACGAGCTACCAAAGTTCTTCGATTATCCCCCTTCTTATCTGCTATTATATTAATCCCAAAGGTTGTACAACTCCTCGCGATTCAAGTGCCATTATTGGTTTAGCTATCTGCGAGAGTTATCTGCATGGGTGCGTGCGATCAACGCAACTCGAATGTATAAACTCGATCCAGTCGACTGATAGGGGGACACAGTAATAGAAGGACTGATTGCACGCGATATACCTGGATAACCTCAACGTTAATACCACTACAAATGCCACGGTTGGTGTGATGTAAAGGTGGAACGTTATTGAAAATAACAGCGCGATGGGTATTCAGAACAGCTGATGAATCAGAATGACCAAGGGAGAAAAGCGTTGTTTAGCAACAGTTTTAAATACAAAACAAAGAAGAATATATCGAACGATCCTTCAGAAAGAAACCATTAATCCGATATACTGCTCGAAAAAATTGAGAAGCCGCTGTAATGGCGGTTCTCCCTAAAAGCGAGAAAGCCATTACAGGGAAGCTTGATAGCCGCAGGAGAAAAAGGTAGCCGTGGAGGCAAAAACTGCGACTACTCTTCCTAATCTCAGCTCTCTCACAAAACTTTTACTCTAAATTGTTATCTCGAAACTAACTTTAAAACTAATCTTAAAAATAATTTAAAAAGAACAAAAAATGGATTTCAGGGAATGCATCGTTGCTGATCCAAACGGACGAGTGCAACACAGGAAGGCACCCTCTCTTGGCGAACAACCTGCAGGACGGTGGCGCGGACAGCGACACGAACAGTCATTGCGCACTGATCCTCGAGGAAACGACGCCCACCTCGGCGAACCATAATTGCAGCAACCGGGAGAAGAGCAATGGCAACAACAACTACGAGATGCGAGAGTTCAACAGGAGATTGTGGCTGTCGAACGGTGGCAGCCCGGGCACGGGTATAACAGCCGGTGGTCAAAGTAGGCGCACCTGACTATGGAAGTGGTGGCGAAACACGTCGAACCGTCTCCTCTACAGGAGCAATAGGTCCGCCGAGATCACCGTGTATAAGTAAGCCTATCCGTATATGTGTGGCTCTGTATACACGCGATAGCCGTATAAAAACGGCAGAAACATTTTCTTTTTTATCTGAAACAAATAAAAAGCGATATGATAAAACATGAATTAGCCTTCGGATTCTTATATAAAAACGAGATACAACCGATATACCGACCCGTATCATAGTTTATTCGAATAAAATATACAAGTCACAAAATTATTCACCCAGTCGATAATGCGACAAAGATTAAACACGTTGACTGCCATGGTGGTCGTCAGTGACCAACGCTTGTCTTTTCAATAGAACCATGGTAGTCTGTGTTCTAATTTTTTTCAATTTAGATTTGTTGTATTCTGACCATTTTTTGAAAATTTGAACAACGTAAATAAACAGAGAACTTTGAATAGAAGACATTAATATTTTGCACTATTTATTTTCGCCATATTGTTTGATAACTCAGTATTATATCGTAAGAATAATGGAAATTTTATCGTGGCCCCCTGAGAATGCCATATAAAAGGTGCGTGGCAGTCAAAGTGTTAATGAAGTAACTAGATAAAGAAGGACTTTTTCAGACTTCTTTTAATGGATATACATTATTTACAGGTAAGTGTAACAGAACCATGAAAAAAGAGTGAAAAGTTCTGATTTATAATTGCTAATAGTTACACTCTTTGTGAGAGATTAGTTATAATTTGTTTTCTTACACTTATAGGTCAAAACTTTTCGCTTTCTTTAATGATTTTGTTACTCTTACCCGTAAATAATATATATCCATTAAAGTCTGAAAAATTCTTTCTTTGTCTGGTTACTTCGTTAATCTTTACAGTTTTACCGACTGAGCGAATAATTTTGTAACTCGCTGTATAATGAAAATTTTTCTAATTACGAAAAGTTACAGTGATTAGATAATAAAGATAGTAGACATGTAGTTCTTTCCAGTTCAAGGAGAGTGTACCAAATCTCAGTGGTTTCACAGGAAAAAATGATGCGTACCGTGGTAGTTCGGATTATAGAGTATCGAAGAATATCGCGTTCGAGGTATTGATTCTCGTGTAAACCCGTCTCCAGCATTTCCATCGAATCCGAAGGGAGATTCTTGTTTAATTCCTTCTTTCCTTTTTGTCTTTCAAGTCGTACGTTGTTCAAGCAGCGTTCCCGCTGTCCGTTTCGTAATATTCTTACGGGAATATAAAACGGATAGTCTCTTCTCGATCAAGTTGCACACTGGTAGAGATCGATCTTCCATCCCGTTTTCCTTCTTATGGGCACGTCTCTCGACATCTCCTTCTACCGGGAAATCGACGGACATCGAGGAAAATAGTTGCCTCCCTATATATCACAACTTGTCCTAACTTGTTTCTTGACTTTTAAATCGCGCACATCACTATGTGTACACGTGTATACATACACAGGTCGTATCGCCAGATCTTTCTTTAGGTGTTTTCATTTCTTTCGTAACGAAACGAGAGGCCACGTGAACACGAGGCTCGACATCCCTCCTAATCGATAAAATAACAAATCTAGGCGGAAGGCGCCAAGCTGAGACTTGGTATCCCAGATTGTTGAGGACTGACAACTGTTAATATTTTCCCACTATCCTCTGCGTGTTTCTTCTCCTCTCTATCCGTTAGGTAAATGAAAAACTTGTTTTCGCCACTTGTTTACCCAACGCGCACGAATCGTCGTCTTATTTTCCTATTACGGGAGTTCATAGTCGACACGTGATGCGAATACCTTTTAAGTCCTCCAGAAGCACCAGGCGTAACCGTCTTACCATAAATACACACTATAAAAAAGGAAAGAGAGAAATAAATAAGTCATTTAGAAAAATCGCGAGTCGGATGCCGCTATTTTGCCCGTTTTTATTCGGACTGGATACAGAGTACTGGTGCTTTCTACGTGCCCGATGAGAAAACTTATTTTCGTAGATCTAAGGGACACTATATAGCGTGTCGTTAATTTTACCAGGTAGAAAGTAACGTAACAATAAAGTCGTACACGATCAAAGAGACTCCGAGCGATTCGGTTTGTAATTATAAAGAGTACGTATGAATAGCTTTACGTCACGTCCTTCTCGTCCTCGTATCCTTTTAGAGGTCTGCTCGGATTAGGGATTGTAATATATCATATAACTGGAACAATTCGACGTTATTATTCGAAGATTTTCAATGTAACTGACAACCATTTGAGTTACGGAAATAGGCAAGTATAGAAGTTGCTGGTAACAGATTCTGCTTCCTATTAGACACAGAAGTCGATGGTATCGAATTTAGCGTGTCATTAATCTTAGTCCCATTAAGGAATCTCTATTTTTGTTAAATTGATCTACTCTTCTATTCAACATCCATTCCGTGAACTCGCTGATTGAATTAGAGTTGGACGTTTTGGCAATCTCGATTAGATTCGAGTTTCCGGTATATTTTTAAAAGTCGGGGGTTAATTGACAGGCATCTCGTTAGTCTCGGTAGATAGAAACGGTAGATGACCTGTACCAAAATTCTCTAGAACAGAGAGGATTATTCTGTTAACGTAAAACGAACGTTTTAGTTAGCAAACGAGCATTTATATCGCGAAGATAGATAGGTCTCGCGTCCCTGGATTCGAGCATCGTGTAATTAAAGAAGACTGCTGCGATGAACGTTAGATGGTAAAACGAAAAAAGAAAACTAGAAAAAAAAGAAACGAAAAATGAGAAAGAGTAAAAAAAAATAGATAACACAAGACCAAAGCGTTTAGCTCAAAACGAGAGTAAATCGATACCACGACGAGATTAATAACATAAACGAACGACCAAATCAAAATATATACAATACTAAGCGTATCTTCATTTTTTAAAGGATAGGTCCGCAGACCGGAGCTAAGGTTTCTAAAGATTCTACTGACCTCACGAGCACACCAGCCCACAATAAGCGAATAACGTTCAAAGTTTTACGTGTCGCCAGAAAAGTGTATCGTTAAATCGTCGTGTATCGAATAGAAAACGCTGTAATTTCTTATAGTCGACGATAGAGATTTAGTTGCAAGACGAGACTCTTTCAACCATGGCTAGACTAGGCTAGGGTACCATCGATAACTAATTACCAATAAAATCCTCGTTTCGTTCCTTCGAAGACATCGTGACGCTATCAGAGGAATTTAGCGGATACATGAGATTTTAAAGATACATTTTCCTCGCGACGTCGTACGCCGAAAGTGCAAAGTCTACATGACGATGCGACCCGAAGTGCTGATGAACAGAATAAATTTCCTTTTGCGTCACGACACACAACGGCCGGTGAAGCGAGAATCGACACGAACTTACGAGGAAGAACAAACAAGAGACAGCGGAATAAAGAAACAAAAAAAAGAAAAAATAGGAAATCGAGAAAAGAGTTGGAAAAATGAAGAAGTGCGTCAAAGCTGCACAAAGGGGGAAAAGGAAGGCCTGTGAATGCCTTCCTATGTCCTTTCGATTCTCTTTCTACGCGTATTCCTTACATGTCTTTCCGTCCTCGCACGGTCGGTGAACAAAAAAGAAAAAAGAAAAGAAGAAAATAATCAATTACTTTTGTAGATTTATTTTTAGCAGTAAGTTTTCCTATATGAAACTATCTCTCTTTGAATCGAGACGAACCAAAGAGTGTTTCAGACACGGAGCCGTTGTATACTAATTTTTACCGCGCGAATCATGCCAGTAGTATGTCACAGTGTAAAATGTAACTATCGTCGTTATTACATAAGAGTGACAATTTCCTACGTTCTTCGATCCCGATTTTAATTAATATTTCAACATGATACATCGTTATTAGATTGTTATCGGATGTTTCATTAGCGGATGACGGAGGCTGTGTTCCACTTTTCTGTTCGCCGTTTTCAACGACAATACATTGTACTCAAAGAGCGGCAAAAGTTGTATTTGTTCCAGTGCGCACGGTTACATTTATACACGGTGAAATAGAGTGCGTTGCTCGCGATCAAAAGTCTCTTAAGACACGATACCGATAAGATATATCAAAGGTTAATCGCGTATCGTCTTTCGAACATTTATTTTTACTCATTTCTTTCCGACTTCATACTTTTTTACTTTTCCATTTCCTTTTTCTCTTTTCCATCAACGATAATGTTTTACCAATGAGTCGTTCTGACGAGAAAACTACGCAAATGCGATAGTTACTAGGCGAATATTGTGAGATACTACTACCAAACTGATTCTCCCTCTGCGAAAATACGACTATAAAAAGAAAAAGAGAAAAAAATTAAAAAAATAAAATAGAAAATCTGTTTTTTCGACGAGCTATATACTTAGTGATGGTAAAAGAATAAAAAGCCGAAACATTGCATTGGAAAAAGACACACATATACACACAGAGCAAACACACAAAGTCACCGCATAAGAATAACGACTATAAATTCCTAGTTCTTTTTATATAAAACGATACATGCAGTGCGAGTAGTCTGTATTGATTTGTGCAGTAAGTCGTATAAATATAATACGATACTCAAAGTAATTGGCTTCCTAGCTAGGATTAATCGAATCTTAGGGATTATATACGTTTCGAATGCAAAGATAATGGATATACGTATTAGTAGACTGTATATAGCGGTGTATGGTAGTCAAATATTAAGCGTCGATCGTCTGTTTAAGAAAAAGCCAGAATCTATTGCACATGGTTCAACGATATATGTATGTATATCGAAAGATCGTTTCCTTTATTATTGTTTAGAATAACGTGAACGAAAGTTATGAGACTATCAGGACACAATTTACGCGGCATTGTTAGACTTCAGATTTGATCTTTTGTCTTTCTTGTAATTATATCAGTCTGGACAACAGGGTATTCTTAGCACTGTACGTTATACCGTGTAGATTACTACCAAAGAAGCCATTATTACACGACACATTCATTAATACGTGTTGGTAACGACATACATTTTTGAATATATATGTGTATGTTTTCCTTTGGTTCGTATCATGCATAATTTTTAATCATTAATAAAAAGAGAAAAGAAAAAGAAAAGAAAGAAAGGAGAGAAATTGCATTCCAGGTAATCGAGGGTTCTTTCTTAATCAGGCCATCGAGTTATCGTTGAATGTACTAAGCTACAATAATAATATGAAAGCTTACACCTCGCAGACATACAGCCTCTGCCACTAAATGTATATAAGGATATACTATATGTAAAACATACGAGAGATAGCGTTAATTGATTTCTAAACTGATCATTTAGAAAGGCAACTATGTTACTGCAAACCGCCCAAAAGTGAAGACCTACACGCTACCTTTAATTAGAATAAGCTTTAAAACTTTTGGCTAAACGAGAGTCGATATACTGTTTTTCACGTTTTAATTCGTTCCTTCGATTCGTTCAATTATCAAATCGTGTACTTGTTAAATGAACGGAAAACTCGTATCTCTATGTTTTAGTCATATATCCAAACAACAATGAATAATTATCCCATAATGAAAAAGGCTTTAAAAAAGTTCAACATGTGTAGTAATTTGTAACTGATTGATATTTAAATGTAACATGTATATCAAGACGAATGAAAGAGAGGGAGCTTTGAATAGTGCCTGCTTAAGAAACCCAATTTACTGTATCTGTAAATGGTTAGATATGGTATGTACGTTATTTCGTACACGATAAACCCAATAGGACTACCGTAGCCAAGTATGGGAAAAAGTGTAACTAGAATATAAAACGCGTTTGTTATTTTCGTGATCATACATATTATTATGCACAACGGAAAATGCTTAAATTTTTTTGAAAATGTTTCTAAAATACGTTCTTGATTTTAATATGAGTATTTAAATAACCTAGAGAAATTTAATTTTGAAAGATATTCCTTTTCAAGATATTCTATCTTGTATTTTAATTTCAATATATTGCATGAATATAGTTTCTTAACTTTGGCTTTAATAATATTTTATGAGTTTTATACTATATTACTATACCACACCACTCTTCCCCATACTACACTATGAGTTTGTGTTATTCAATATTCTTAAATGTACATAAAACCTATGTGGTCGTAATTGTATGTAAATACTGTTAAACGTTCTATAACTCCTCTGAAATATGAATACAAGGAAAATTGGTTATTTAGTATAATTCTGACTTAAGACTTGACTCACTTTTGTCTCAGATTCCTTTATTTACCATACAGTATCCATTATAGATCCACCAATTACAATCTATAATATAAATTGCACAATGAAAACAAAATGAACAATTTTGTACATTTCTTAGGATATATAAATATTTTTGTTTTACATACTGGATTTCGTTCTGATTTCAAAATACATTTGAAATTCATTCAAAATTTTTTTCTTCGAATCCTCATTCTTTTCCCATGTTGGAAGAATCATTGAAAACATTTATTAGCTAAATTCATTGCAATATCTGCTGCTACAGTTGCATTATTTTCTATGAGTGCCATGTCTGTTAAGTTTAGAAATATAAAAATTAAGTAAAAATAATCTATTTTACATATACCTTTTTTTTATTTTTATATTAATAGATTTATTCACATACTAGCACGAAGAGATTGACCACGAGTAATTTTATTTATCTCTTCTAGTAAAAATGGTGTGACATTTTTTCCACTTATATTTTTATACTTTGCATTTTCCAAAGCCTTACATATAGCTAATTCCATTTCTTCGCAATCTAATGCATACTCTTCAGGAATAGGGACAGTAAACAATAATCCCATTTTAAAACCTAATTCTCTCTGTGCTTTGATAATCTCCATTGCTTCTTGTGCATTTGATACTTTATGTGGTACTTTTATTTTTTGAAGTGTTTCAATGCAGTAAAATGCAGGAATATAATTTGTTTTACCTATGTTTATAACTGGAACTCCTTGAGTTTCCTATAAATTGATACAATCAAAAATCTTGGTTATAATAATAAAAATAATCTTTTATGAAAAAGGAAATATACTAACTAAATACTCTAATGTTTTTCCAATATCTAATATAGATTTAATGCCACAACAAACAACAGCTACAGGAGTACGGCCAAGCTCTACTAAATCAGTACTAATATCAAAAGTCATATCAACTCCATGATGAATACCACCAATACCTCCTGTTGCCATTATAGGTATATCTAATAAATTTGCTATTAACATTGTTGCACTAACAGTTGTTCCACCATTGAACTTTTGGGCAACAATTGTTGATATATCTCTGGATGAACACTTAATAGTTTTAGTAGAATCTGACTTAGCCAGTATTTGCAATTGTTCATCATTTAAACCAACATGTATCTGTCCATCTAAAATTCCTATAGTTGCAGGTATAGCACCCTAAAATGATATAAATTATGTAACTAATTTTTTCTTTCTTCCCAATTATTTGCAAATAATTACTTTTTTCCTGACAGTGTTTTCTACTTGAATAGCTGTTTTTAGATTGTCAGGGTAGGGCATTCCATGAGTAATAATTGTTGACTCTAAGGCAACAATGGGAAGTCCATTTCTTTTTGCCACTTTTACATCAGGACTGCAAATAAATGTTTTGCAATTACTGCTACTGTGGCGATTATTCAATACTGTAATTCTTTTCACTGCTTGAAAGTATCTTCGAAAATTCATCTCCTGAATCATTATATCTTTAAACTTTCTTTATATATAATATAAAAATGTTTGAATTCACTGTTTATCACTTGATGACAGTCTGAAATGGTAAGTTAACAACGATACACGATGAACATTAATAATGCAATATTATCGGCAGGTTATTAAACATTTACATAAAAAGTAATTTAAAGAAATTAATATGAATATATGAATTCTCTATATTTAATTGACACCTTATAGACCTAATAATTATGATAAAATTTAAAATAGTAAATAATTGTATACAAATTTTACTTTGATATAAATTTCGGTAACAAATTTCCGATCTATCGACTTTACATCTTTACCGGCTTTATTCGAAAAACCAAATTCACCAATTAATTATTCCAAAATTTTGATATTTAAAGCAGTATTATAATAATTTGTTGCTTAAATATGTTTAAATATATAAATATATAATAACATTTTTGAACATGGATAGTCAAGAATTTAATTAACAATTAAATAAAATATCGAATATGGGAAAGTTTGAAAAAGTTAATGTTAATTAATTATATTAAGAATAAATCATGTTTATTATGAAAAAGTATAACACGTGTATTCTTTATAGAAAAATGTATTATATAATTACTTAAATCCAAAAAGTGTGTTTCATTGTAATAAACGGTATTAAACATTAGATGTATAAATTACAGTTTTAGCAATTCATTATGGCATTTTGAACTTTGATCTTATGAATCAAGAATGTAATTAATGTTTCAATATTATTCAAAAATTACTTTTGAAATAATAAATATCTGAACAAATTTCGAATAATTTTTACTTATAAATATTCGAATACATTTTTTTAATGTTTGTGTTCATTAATGCAAATGTAAATTAGTATATGCTTTAATTCGTTCAAAACTGGAAATCGATTTGTGAACATTTTCAAGATAAAATAATCGGTATGATTTAAGGTAATACTTATTTCTTCGTCTTGTGAAATTAACATTTGTTTTTTTAATGTAATAAATTTTTGAGAATATGTGAAATCATTTATTTTGTTTTAACTTTACTATTACTAAAATATTGAAAAATAAATATATTGGATCGGCAACTTACCTTCAGTTACCATTCATCGTGTTAATAGCTACGTTCCTGTTGAAAGAAAGAACTACTATAATATGCTGCAAATGATTTCGTCAGTTTACGTCGTACATATGATAAGTTGACATGGTGTGGAAATAACGAATAATTTTTATTATTATAACTAAGATCTGAATTAAAAAAGTACAAATATGAAGTCGAAAAAATCAAGCAACGTTGGCACATTATATTTGAAGACTTATAATCTACTACAAGTTTTTGGGTAAATATTAATTTTATTATTTTTAATAAACTGTGAAGAAATAAATATAAAAGAACATTTAATTGACATTTTTTTTTAATGTTACTTACTGACACTTCTTTAATTGATATAAATTAATATAAAAAAACATTTTATTGGTATAATTTCTTTTAATGTTACTTATAATTTTTGTTTCAATACTTGTCACTTTTAAACTAATTGAAAAAGTATGTTTAATGTTAACAGATAAAAAAGATTATGAGAAAAAAAATATTTTTACGAATATTTATAAAATTTTGTGTATTTGCAGTTGGAGTTATATACTTTATAAGTTTCTAAACACTGATTTACCTATTATGCTAGAAGGAAATGTTTGGGAGAATATTAAATGGCTTGTTATTATTTTTCAACATGCTGCTGTTTTGGAGGTAAACATTAATGTTTAACTTGGCTTTATTTGTAAAATGCTAAATAATAAAACATGTTTTCATTATAGGTAGTCCATATACTAATTGGTTTAGTTAAATCAAATCCTATACTTACAACTATCCAAATAGCAAGTCGTGTTATAGTTGTAACTGGAATATTATCAGCAATTCCATATGATTATGTACTATTATCACTTGGTGTTCCACTGCTTATCACAGCATGGTCAATAACAGAAATTATTAGATACTTATATTACTTTATGCATCTCAATGATTTTGTTCCTTATTTTCTCACATGGCTAAGGTATATAATTTCAAAATTTATATTATAAATTTTTTATTTAACCAGTCATGTCAATTTTTTTACCATTTGAAATTGAAATATTTCAATTATTACAGATATACATTGTTTATTATATTGTATCCATTGGGTGTAACTGGAGAATTGTTATGCATATATGCAGCTGTAAAATATGCAAGTTCTTATCCAGAAGCTTGGAGTTATAATCTCCCTAACTCATGGAATTTTATATTTAGTTATTATTTTATATTGGTGTGTCTTATGATATCATATGTACCCTGTAAGTATTCTAAACATTATTGCTGTACCTGTATATCAGTATATACAATAATTATTTGGTTTTTATGTGTTACAGTATTCCCACAAATGTATTTACATATGTTTTCTCAAAGACGTAAGATTTTAGGAAGTCATACATCCAAAAAAAAATATGACTGAAATTTTATATATATTACTGATATTTCATAATATTTATGGTGGAAATAAACGTTTTAATATGTGAAAACTATAATTATTTTAAAATACCGTTTTTGAATCACATATGACAATGTAATCTTAATAAGATTGGAAGATTCTTTGGGAATAGTAATTAAAATAAATTTAATTATTGCAGTTACTATAAAATGTTAGACATTTTCAATAGCATTTGCAATTATTTGTTATAATTTCACTATAATTTGTTTACAAAAAAATCAATTTTTTGCGCATTTAAAAGGTTATCCCCGCCATCCAACTAGACCCTATCATAATATAGCATTTATTAATTAGATAATATTATCTAGAAATATCATCTAAGTTAGTTTTAAAATAAAAATTTTATATTATTTTTACTTATAACATTCACTATGAATAATTACTATGAGTAATAATCATAATTTTTAAAAATATCATTCAATATAATAAAGAAACAAAATAGAAGATCCTTAAGCATTACCTCTATGCATTTAATCGAATGTCAGTTACTTCGATAACCTATTGCAATCGCATATTCAAGTGAATGTATAAATAATATAATTTTTTCATGTGACAACTATAGTATAGAATAATTTTGCGTAACATTTGTTGAGGACATTATACGAATTTAGAAATATGTCTGAATACAACGATGACACGGAAAAGGGTAATGTTTTCAAATTATTCAATACAATAAAATTCAATTTTTCTTTTATACCATATCGAATTTTTTTCGAATTATATTCTTAAAAGGAATGAAATTAAATCTTTTATTTTAGTACATATATGTTTATATATAAAAATTAGTTTTCATTGAAATTATAGATTTTATAATTTTTATTAATATTTTTACTACATAATTTTTAGCATTCTCTGTACATATTTTTAATAATTATATGTATTTATTATAACATAATAACACCGTATATAGTAACACAACGTATATAAGTGAAATATAATAATAGAGGTTAACCGTCTTCCATAAGAATTTGAAATCTTATTAATTAAATAAAATGGTTAAATGAATTAAGAGAAATTATTGTTCGATGCTGATCGTCATAGTCACGAAATACTTAGATTTGCACGTTATTACGAAATTTTTGGTAACTGTTAAATAACATCTGTCTTTATTAAATGATATTATAGACCGGGGACATAGAAGCGTTGAAACAATGTATGTTCCGATATGTGTCAATTTTAACGTATGTTGCGATTTGAGGCATATGTACGTTAAAATGACATACGTTGTAATATGTTATAAATCCTAACATGCATTCTAAAATGAAAAATTAAGGCATGTTGCATTGCGCATTGAAAGTAATGCACGTTCATAGAGTATGGAGTTTAACGTACAATTATGGATTTCAATGCTCGTATGTCCCTGACTATAGTTACATCGCGATGTGTGTTTGCAGCGATTCAAAATGTTTTCGTATATCGTATTTTCTTTAATCAATCGTCAAAGACAATTAATTATTCAACATCTTTGGCGGAAATTTATACTTACGTATTATGTTTGTAGTTAGTAAAACGTATTAGTTTAAGTAACTTGTTTGACTGTCTTTTTGTTTTAAATTCAGTGTTGTTTTATTATATTAATAAATTAACAATACATACTATATTTCCTGATACTAATAAAAATTAGACAATCGTGATATATGTGACAGAATTGAAGATTCGCATTTATTTTTCACATTTTTATAATAATAAGTCATTTATTCCTAAAGGTATCTTTTATATTGTTAATTTATTTAATTATATTAGATAAACCATCAAATGAGGAAGCAGCAAATAGTTCTTCAGAACAAGAAGAGGTAGAAGAATTTGGCATGGAAAAAATTCGTAAATATTTAACACAAAAGTTAAAACTTTTTGATTCGTCAAATTATGACGAACAATCACAGCAAAAAGTTCTCCGTGAACTTAGTATAGATGGAATAATAGAATATATAAAGGAAAATGAAAACTGTAAAATCATTACTATGGCTGGAGCTGGTATCTCCACATGTGAGTTTTTATAAATATATTTAAGTCTGAATCATAAAAGCAGATTGTATACAATGTATGTTTTTATGCATTTTTAGCTGCAGGAATTCCTGATTTTCGGTCACCATCAAGTGGTCTCTACCACAATTTAGGAAAATATAATTTATCTCATCCTCAAGTTATTTTTGAATTAGATTTCTTTATGAAGAATCCTGAACCATTTTTTATGCTTGCAAGGGAATTGTTACCTGAAGGTTTTAAACCTACACCATGCCATTATTTCATTCGTCTTTTATGGGAAAAAGGATTACTTTTGAGACATTATACACAAAATATTGATACATTAGAAAGAATGGCTGGCTTACCTCCTGAAAAATTAGTAGAAGCTCATGGTACATTTCATACTGGTAAATGTCTTAAATGTGGAGCATCATATACTCTCCCATGGATGAAAGGTATCATTCTTTTCATTTTATATATTATTCAACATTAAAGTTAGAGAATTACTATTATAATTATTCACATGTTCTAAAATCCAATATCTACTTTCAGAAAAAGTTATTGAAGGTATTGTACCAAAATGTGAAGAATGTAATGAAGGTGTAGTAAAACCTGATATAGTGTTTTTTGGAGAAATGTTACCTGAACGTTTTCATGTTCTTGCTGATCGGGATTTTACTGAAGCAGATCTTTTGATAATTATGGGATCAAGTTTGGTTGTTCAACCATTTGCATCCTTAGTAGACAGGTATGCATTGATTATAAGTATCATGTTGTTTTTAATATCATATTCCATTCAGATTGCATGTCAATAATTAATGCAATATATTACATTTATTATATACACTAAAAACGTGTATTTTACTATAATATTTATTTATATTTTCAGTTTATTTAAAAAAATTTGTTTGTTTATATTTCTTGTTTATTTATTCAATTTTAATTCCTTTAAAGAGTGCGACCTAACTGTCCACGCTTACTGATCAATAAAGATAAAGTAGGTATGCAGGATCGTCTATCGCGCCTTTTGGGATTACGACATGGTTTGATTTTTGATACACGAAGTTCTCATGGTGGTCGTGATGTTGCCTGGTTAGGTGACTGTGATACTGGTTGTCAATTATTAGCTGACAGATTGGGTTGGGGTGTATGTTTCATTAAAATAATTTGAACTATATTTTTATTGTGTTTTGAACATTGAGAAACATGTCTTATGTAAATCAATTACTTTTCAGGATGAATTGAAGGATCTTATAAAAAAAGAACATGAACGTTTAAATGCAAAAAATATCAGTAAGGATTGATCCCACTAATTGCCTTGTTATAACGTGAATTTAGCTTTTTAGGTTACTTGGCATTTAATTTTGCTGCTATTTCCTCCAAAAAGAAGAAACTATTTAGACAAATAATATTTTGCTGCAAGAAATTGTAAAGATACTATTTCGAATGTTAAACGTTTGACGTAATGATATCGAAGAGTAATGCTTTTCCCTGTATCATTATCAATAATTTTTATGGAAAATTATGTTAAATTAATGGTGAAAAATATAATTTTCGGACGTGTGATTTTTCAGAAATTTGCATTTGATAGTATATTAATGTCATAAATATAGTTTATCGATATTACTATCGATACATTACAATAAACATCGTTCAATGACGTGTGAATAATTTATTTTTTCATATAATATATAATGATGTTACGCAAATAAATGTGATTTTTGGCAGTTGAATCATGTATACAAATAAAACAGAGTAAAATATCCAATGTAATATAAAATTCATTTCATATTGAAGGGTCTCACAGTAACTTCCTGAGTTTCTCGTTGATGTACTTTTCCTTCACCTTCAGCTGCCGCAGCCATGGATTTACGACCGCTGTATTTTAACTGTAAGTCATAATTTTGTTTTTGTAAATACGAGTTATCATACACATTATTTAAATTATTAACTTACTAATTTGCCACATAAATTTTCAAAACGTGGCTTAATGAAGTTCCATGCGCCCATATTTCGCGGTTCTTCTTGACTCCATATAAAAGCTTAATAAAATATTCATCAACATTTACACATTTAAACATTTAAACATTTGTATACTTACTTTCCGCATGTGTATATTTATTAATTTCTTGCAATATCTCTTGAACTGGAAAGGGGCATAAACTTTCGATTCTAACAATTGCTACGTTCTTTTGATCTGTATTTTTTCTGAAATTATCAAGAGCGTAGTAGTGTTTTCCACTTACAAAAATCACTTTAGTCACATTTAATTTTTCCACCTTGTCATCTCCTATTAGAGTATTATTTCTTTTATTCTAAATTAAATATGAATAAATAGATCCTTTTACTATATTCAACATACCTATAACGTTTTTAAAATTAGTTTGCGGCCCCATATTTGTTATTGACGAGGTTGCGGCGGTATGCCGTAACAATATCTTCGGAGCTACTATAATTAAAGGTTTACGGAAGTTTCTTACCATCTAATAAAGAGTATAGATAATTAATAGTATTAAAAATATGATTAAGAATCTATCAGAAGAAGAATCTTACTTGTCTTCTCAATAAATGAAAATACTGAGCCGGTGTTGTGGGGTTTGTCACTTGTATGTTAACATTATCACCATCAGGTTTATCTTCATTGCTATCAGTGAGTTGTAAAAATCTCTCAAGTCTACAGGAACTATGTTCGGGACCGGCACCATCGTAGCCATGTGGCAGAAGTATCGTCAGTCCGCTATTTAGCATCCATTTTGCTTCACCACTGCTTATAAAAGTGTCAATGATAATTTGGGCTCCATTAAAAAAGTCTCCAAATTGTGCCTCCCATATAGTTAAAGTAGTTGGTACAGCTATACTCATGCCATATTCATAGCCTAAAACTGCCTCTTCTGATAGAATACTGTTAGCTAATTCTAACTTTCCTGTTTGATCCTTGGCCATAGAATTCAGTGGAATGTGTATATCTAAAATCGTAAATAACAGTTTAGTTAAGTCTTAACTTTCAATTGGAATTACTTTGTAAATACCTTCTGTAGATTGATCAACAAACATGGCATGCCTGTGAGAAAACGTTCCACGACCTATGTCTTCTCCGCTTATTCTAACATTGTAACCTTGATATAATAAAGTTCCAATTGCCAATGCTTCAGCAGTGGCCCAGTCCAAATGTTCACCAATGGCTACTTTGTTTAATCGAGGTTGAATATAATTTTTTAATAATTTGACATGTATTGCCTGTTATGGTAAAACAATATATTTAATTAAGAAAACCGAATAGTATTTAATATATAACATGTTCTTACCGAGTCATTTTCAATGTGAACACTTTTCTCGGCAATGAACCTTAATAGGTTTAAATCAACTCCCGTATTCCATTGTGTTACATTTGCCTCAGCCTGCTGTATTCCACTCCACAGGCCTGCGAAATATGCAGGCTCTGGAATATAATTATCCACTTCATTTAAACCTTGACTTAATTTTGCATTGTAATTCTTAATAATATCTTTAGCTTTCGTCATTGAAAGAACCTTGTCCTTTACCAGTTTGTCCAAATATCGATCTGGTATTGATCTAATTAAAAATTAAATAAATTGACTGTACATTTTATGAGTATAATAAATAAATACTCACGGACGATTATGTATAATTTTGTAAATAATAGGATTCGTGAAGGTAGGATCGTCTAATTCATTGTGGCCCCATCTTCTAAAACAATTCAAATCCACGAAAACATCTTTCCTAAATTTTCGTTGGTATTTAACAGCTATTCTGGTAGCTCTGATAACCATCTACGATATTTTATAATCAGATAATTTTGTTTCATATATGAATGTAGAGGAATAAATTGAAATTCTTTTTACGTGTACCTCAGGATCATCTCCGTTTACGTGGATCACCGGAGCAGAGATCATTTTGGCTAGATCCGTGCAATATCTCGACGATCTACCCTTAGATGCGGGAGTTGTAAAACCTAATTGATTATTGATAATCAAGTGAACTGTTCCACCTATTTCAAAATGAGGAGCCGCAGATAGCGCCAAACATTCTTGATCAACACCTTGAGCAGCGTAAGCTGCGTCTCCGTGAATCTAAGATAGAAAGGCATCGATTTATTTAGTATTCCAATTAAAATTTTATGCGAGTAAGATTCTATTATTGTACTTGAATATTTAACACTTTGTCGCTCCATTGATTGTTTATATCTTCCCCATATGCACCATCTTGAACAGCTTGCATTAGCCCTCGAGTTTTTCCCATGGAAACAGGATTCACAGCCTCTAGGTGTGAAGGATTTCGCAACATTGTTACGTGGAGGCTTTTGCCATTAATGTTAAGATTCGTAGATGATACGAAATGACTGATCACGTCTCCAGTTGCGATCACGTCATTCGGAAATTCAGAATATCCTTGTAGCTTTCGAAATAATTTTCCCAGTGGGAAATTCAGCATTCCTGTAAGGAAATTCAGTCGACCTCGATGGGGCATACAAAGTACGATATGTTTTAAATTATCTGTAATGTAACAGATTTAAATTATAATTTTAATTTGAGGAAGTATAGATAACGAGGTCTTAGTCTTTCTCCTTTCTTCAATTAGATTGTTATTTACCATTGGCACAAAGTTCAAAAAATTCATGAAAGAAGGCCATCATACTTTCAGCACCCTCGCCACTGTACCTCTTAAAGCTCACGAATTTGATGGCTAAAAACTGATCGAATGTTTGACTTTTCAGCATCTCTGTTGCGATGGCTATTCGTGTTTCGTCCGTTAAAGAATCCATGAGACATTTTTCTGCGGTTTCTGCGAACCATTCCCTCTCTTCCTCGGTCTGTGTAGACATTAATAGAAATCAGGTACTTATATTGATTTTCTACAAAGAAATAAACATTAATATTTAAGTTACTTTTAATGGAAGATTGCTTCAGATTTGTTCATTAGTTAATTATTACCTCCAAATAATTAAATTCCAGTCCTATCGAACCAGTGTATGTCCGGTGTAGAAATTTTAAGGCTTCTTCTACAGTTCCTTCTTTTTCACTTATTGTTAAGATACCCTCGAAAGAAACTTTATCTTTCAAATTTAAACCATATCTTTCTGGTTTCAATTCTACCAATGGTGTTGGTTTTTCTGCTGAGATAGGGTTTATATTTGCTTGCTTGTGACCAAATTCTCTATAGGCGGTAACCAGCCTATAGAAATTGCTATTCTTCGATCGTATTTTAAAATACTTATTTGGTACTAAAAATATAAGAAAAAGTTATAAATTCAAAAAATAAATTTTTTTATAAACGAAATGTAGCAAATTATCTTCGCGTTATTCTAAGATTTTATTATCTGATTGCACAATAATAAAGACTCTTCGAGTCACGTGTTTTATCATTCTCTTAGATTAGCATATTAAATCTAACCAGTCATGTTAAAATTAATTCAAATAACATTAATATTGGTGCAAATATTTTATTTTTGGAACAAAGAAGGTAAACAATTGTTTCACGTTTAATAGAAACGTTCGATTAATGTATCTATATGCATTTAAATGTAGAATTACTTAAACAATCCTTTTTGTCCTTTCGAAAAAATATTTATACACATTAAATCATTGTTATGAATGTGTTATCTTTTAAAAAAGGAAATACTGAATTTTAATTTTAAATTTGCTACGCATGCATGATACATATAGGTAAGCATTTTTATGCGACAGTTGAGCCTTAGACGGGGAAAAATCCAACAATTAACATAATTATTATTAATCTTAAATTATGTAATGGATAAGTATGTTCATCTTGGATGCATGATCTGTAAAACCTGAAAATACTTATAAGGTAGGACTGATTTATTGCATAAAAATATGCATTTTTCTATTCAATTTAAAGGTACAACTGTATAGAATGCATTAATGGTCACTGGCGATACTATACGGAAATTCTGATCATTAGTTTAAAAATTTAAGTTATGCAGTTGTTATAAATCTTAATGCAGTCACAAATGTTAAACTTTCAGTAGAACGTTAAGAAAAACTCGAATTACTTTTTATTCGTTCTTTAAGAAAGAAAAGATAAAGGGAAAAATATTGGAAATACCTTCAAAGTGTCTCTGTGGTTTTGGTCTGTATCCGTAGTCGCCATTTCCACCATGATACAATCGTGTAAACATTTTTAATCGATAATATATACATTCCGCAGCTGAATAAATATTTATCCATTGAAAGGACATGTATTTGGTTCTATAAGATGTTCGTACTGCCGTATACATGCTTGCTTTCGTTACGAAATCTACAATTCAACTACTTACTAGTTTCCTATCGCAATACTCAAGTTAGCTTATTGCTCCTACTCTTTCTTTTGATTATATTCGACATTATCTCTTTACGCGAGATTGTCAGTATCATAAATATTACAAACAGACGGTCTACATAAAGTAATGTATATCTTGAGATTATAAATTTATTTATTCAATGTAATGATATAGTACAAATTTTATTGCTAAGAAATTATGTTCTATTGTATAAAATTATGTCTAAATTTAATGTTTCGAATAGTATAGTGTTTTATATACTAGTATTACCTGTCATTTTTGTTATTATTTTCCTATATCACATTAGTATTAATGTCATTTTTTTATTGCCCTCTTTCGAACATATCAAGAAGTTACGTATTCTATTTTATCAGAAGTATAAACAAATTCATCCTGATAAACTTATATTTCTGGATAGGCTGTTCCTATCAAGTCGTTTCCTCTATATTTAAATTTATGGGTGACGATGTTGAACCTCGTTCCTCCAAGAGAAACCGGACAATTTCCATCCGGTCTGGCATAGAAACATACTGTATACAGTGCCATCTCTAATTCAGGCGAAGTACCCACGAATATAGTCGTCACTGGTTTATCATACCCGCTATACTTCGTCCGTATTTTGACGATGGAACCTTTCTATAGAAACAAACATATACAAACATGATTAGCATACAAGTTTTTTGCGTAATGTGAGTCATATGTCTTGATAGAACTCTACAAAAGAAAAGACGTGCAGATGTTTTTGTGGAAATGATAATAAGCATTTAGAATGGAATGACATTCATTGTACACATTTTTCATTAATGATCTAAGATATAAAAATATTCATGTTTTCAAGGTCACGATAAGAAAAAAAATATAAAATATAATCTTATAACAATCGTAAAAAATTTTTAAAAATACAAATGCATTTAGAAAAATATTTAGAACTTATAAAAAATAAAATCATCTTGGAATGACCTTGAAAAATTTAAGTAACTTACATCTCCAAGGTCGACTTTTTTTAAGTATCCATTATAATTTGCTTTTCCGCTGCTTTCCTCTTTGCTATAATAAATCCAATTATGTAAACCGACCACTTCAGTACCAGTTGGTGCATTTTTAAGTTCGGCCATGAAAACATGTTCGAAACCCGAGCTACCAATCTTTCCTTGTCCTCGAGAGAATAGATTAAACCATATTTTTCTTAATGTGTCTTTATAGTCATAGTAATCCTTTCGGATGTGCCCTTTGTCCGCTAGAAATTTCATAGCAGAGGACATTACGTTTGTGCTAAGGAACGTGTCTACCAGTAAACTCTCTTCCTGTCTTTGTAACGGGCTTATGTGCTCATTTACATTAGTTTCCGGTTTGTAATTGTCATAGATAGATATCACTCTTTCAACTGTGGGAACTTGGTACGCATTTGCGGTCACCGTGAACAATCTATAGATTAGTATCATATTTCAAATTCATGGAAATTTTGAAGCCTTTCATTTATAAGCTGGGAACTTACGGTTGTGACGCATCGTCTGTTGTACTGCTGCTAGTTGTCTGTTTCTGTAAATTTAGCGTAATATATCTGTTTGCGTTGTTGTTATCCTTGATCAGCAGAGACTCGGATAACTTCTCCAAGTCTTCATCCGTGATGGTGTTTCCTTTACTATAGGTAGGATTACTGGAGTAAGTTTTCTTATTTGCAGCAGCTGCTCCAGCTACAGCTGCACCAGCTAATGCTCCACCTGCGATTGCACCTCCTGCTATTCCTCCTCCGGATGGTCCTGATCTTCCCGGTTGAGTCGGTGTTTGGGGTCTTGGCTGAGGTACACCTGTTTATCAAATATAAAGACTATAATACTTTTTTCTTCGTTACATTACCGTCTAGTTATCATCACTTGTTATCAACCTGGTTGACTTGGGTAACTAGGTTGACTTGGATAACCTGGTTGTTTTGGAGCAGTTGTAGGAGAATTGGGTTTGCTACCAGTACCAGCAACGTCGGCCCAGGTCCTTCCTGGTTGACTGGGTGATCCAGGACTTCCTGGTCTAGAAGGTGCTGGAGTTGTTGCAGCACTGGGTTTTAATGTACCTACGTTCAATGTAGATACTTGATTACCTCCAGGTTGATTGGGGGATGGTTGAGGTTGTCCTGGTGCAACACCTGGCCTGGGAGATGGTGTAGGCGTCCCTAGACGTAAAAGAGATGTTGAAATCAAAATTATTTTCTTTCATTGCAATACGCATATTTTGTTATATACCTGGTGTCTGTGGGCGAGGCTGTGGTTGAGGTTGAGGTTGAGGTTGAGGTTGAGGCTGAGGTTGTTGAGGTCGTGATGATGGAGTGCTTCCGGGAGTACCAACTGGTTTAGCACCTGAAACGTAAAGAGGAATTAATGAACTTTAATCATGTATTCTACATCTTCATATGTAATCACATAGCAATTTATACCTGGCGGTGGAACCTGCGATGGAACGCTTCCTGGCGTCGAAACTGGTTTGGCGCCTTTCAACCAAAACAGAATTTATTGTATCTAATATTACATTTCTATTTTCGTCTATTCGATACATAAAACTGTAATTTACTTGAAAACTAAAGTCCTTTCGTTACCTAAAATTACACTTTATTTATCTAGAAGCTACAAGACATTAAATTAACCCATATAAATATTTAAAAAGAATTTCTACGAATTTAAGGAATCAATTAATTTACCTCCACCACTTAAAGCTGGTCCTTGAGTAGGTAATTTCGGGCTCTGTTTCCCGGGTTCTCCAGCTCCAGCAAGATCCACAGCCCAGTCTCTGTATCCTTGACCAGTGTTACCACCGATTCCTGGTTTCGCCGGTTTTGGAACCGCAATATCGAGGCCTACTTCTGTTCCTGGACTAGGTTTGTTTGGTCTAGCATTCTCTTTTATCTTCCCCCCAGTTGAAGTAACTCCAATCGCTAATCCTGGATCACCTGCCCCAAGTACAGCCGATCCAACGTTAGTTGGACTTCCTGGAGGTTTATTCGTCACAGGTGTTGCACCTGGCGGGATGTTTTCTTTTGTCGGTTCAGAGCTTGCGATAGTCGGAGCAACTGTTGTGGTCGTGGTTTTATCTTTTTTCCAAAACTTCCATCCTGCCTCTACGTCACCTGAATTAATTAAAATTAAGATATAAATTTATGTCGTGAGGAATATATTTTGTTTTTGTTTTTAAAAATTTGCATTGGTAACTCTCATCGGAAAATCGATGCTAAAAATATCTTCTATGTAAGTCATCCTACAAGATAGTTGCAACGTCGTGGTTATTCGTTTCAGATATGAAATAATTAGAACGAATCTCGATACAGCTATAATTGTATATATGTATATACGGAATATGTGAAACAATCACGATTAAAATTATTTATGACGTTGATTACGTGTTACCGATTCATTTCCTACACCAAGTCTATTCTCATAACTTGTCTTACAAATAACAGACGCTACACGCTCCAAAAATTTTCTGTTTTAGTCATCGATTTTGATGCTATAGTATACTCGTGTATATACAAACGTGAACTTTCGATAACCTTGGTGATATAGAAAGAACGAATTAAACATAGTAAGTAGTTTACAGCGCAGAGTTGCACAAGTAGATTGATCACACAAAAATAACAATTTTCTGTATAACATTTTGTCGTCGTTATTGCGTAATCTCATAGAATATTTGTATGATATTTATTTAAAACATAATTCTAAATATAATTCTAGAAATAGTTCTAAATTCTAAGAATACGCGTTCCCAGATCTATACCAGCATCCTAATACCATTTAACTAAAAATTTCCTTAAAAATAAAAGTAAGAGCCTTAACTGCATCGGGCAGGAGATTCTAAAATATTTAAAATGTTTAAATTACTTAAGATACTTTCCTGGAATGTCGACGCGAGTATCTTTACTACTAAACCAGAGCGTGATTTTTATTTACCTCCAACGATTCTCAGAACTCTTCACTTCCGTCACTCTTTTTTCCTCTTTTAATATCGATCGATATTACGAACAACATACATTTAAAAATGCCTGAAACGAAATATTTAGTCTCCTTTACAAAAAAAACTTTCACTTACCAACGAATATCAGAGATAATCCGAGTATCAAGAAAATGGTGGATATGTTTTTGATTTTCATGGTTGTCCGTCGATTATAACGGTTTCCAGAATGGTTCTGTTCTTCGACGTAATAAAATAGCGAGCGCGGAGGAGCTACGTAGGCGTTTTAAGACGAACTGAAGCCTCGCCGACGGATCTAACCACTTCCAGTCGATTACACTTTCCTTTTGCCTTCGTATCTCATTGGCACGTTTGAGTCGACCCTAGTTAAGGTCGTTGTACGGTCATCACTGTTTTTATACAGACAAAAGTTAATCTTCCCAGAAGGATGATGTCAATATAAACGAAGTTTTAGATAAATGTATCGGAGAATGCATATTTCGATCGATCAACGTTTCAGGGCATCAGAGCCCCCTTCAAATCTAGTGTCACTCCCGACATTACCAACTGAGTACAGAATAAGACTACAACATCGGTAGCGGCTGGAACTTAAACTAAATTTGAATAGAAAATTATAGGTAAGATGTAGAAAAAGATCTCTTATGATAGATAACTAAGTTGTAGTGAAATAAACATTATAAAGGAGCAAATAAAATAAATAATAAATATATATAGCAACAAAATTTTCGTTGTTGAGGTTGAGGATGGTAATGATTTTAGATTCAAAGCTCGGGTTCCGCAATAAGAACATAGATGGCTCTAATGTCAATTTACTAACTCTGGTTATGTGCTCCGAATATATTTTAATAAATCAAATCGGCAGTGGAAAATTCACTAATTACTCAATATCTGAGATTAATTTATGAACTTTTATAATTCCTTCGTAAAACTAGATCCTTTAAGAACTTTCCAATATATTTTTCGACATAAATTTGTCCCTAATTAATTAATTATTAATTATTATTCTACGGAGTGTTTGAATTATTGTCGAAAATTGTCGAAGACGCCATTTGTTTTTCATTAATTACTATCCTTTACGCAATTAATTTATGAAACTTTATGCACTGATTAGAAAAACAATGTTCTTGCGAATCTTCTCATATAATTTTTGTTCACATTTTTTTCCTAGTTTCGTTTAGTATTAATTATTTTCACGGAATATTGTGATGGTCGTCGTTACGAAATCATGGACGCCATAAAACAATAATTAATAACTAACTAATTCGTTACAAATTATGTACGAAAACTACATAAGAATGTTAATCAAACTTTCAGCTTCTCAATGCAATTATAAAAGTTCATAAATTAATTACGAAAATTGTGTAATTTATTAACTTTTCACCGTCGGAGCTCTTCTATCCTCTTTTATCCTATCTCTGTCACTGTCTGCCACGTGACGAGCTCTTCGACGATCTCCTTGCCTATTCTATATTCCTATCACTTTCTTGCTTTTTGAGCCCAAAACATAGATGGCGCTGATTGAAACTGCCGAATTTAAAACCATGTGACCCGTAGGGCGGGAGAAACAAAACAATAAAAGGACATAAATAAGTATAACACATTTTTCTTCCTTCTCTCTACTCTCTTAAAAGCCAGACTAACATGAAGTCACAGATGAAGATGCGTTGTTTTATTCTCGGTAAAAAGAAAACGAAACTTCAATTGTTATATGCTTAGGTACTTTTTATTCACTTTGAAAATTTTACATATACATGTTAATTGTTAACGACATAATAAACAATGACTTATAAACATCAGAATCTGAGTAGATGTCCGTACCACGGACCGTTAAGAGAAAAAGATGTTTCGTAATACACATCATGTAATAATTATCATTACAATGACCATATATATATGTACAATATTTATAAACATATGATAAATGATTCTATTCAAATGCATGAGTTATCCTAATAATTCTTGACATCTCTTGTCGTGCATCTCCTCGGCTTTCTTTTGTGCTAAACCTAATAAGGAATTTTCTATTCCCTATTCATTTTCCTTTATATCCTTATCATCTTCAACACCATCTATTTTATAATTTTGTAACTTTCTTCGGTTCCTTTTTTGTATCTCTCAATGTATTTTTTATCCTTTCCTTCATTGCTCTGAAAATATAAATATAAGAGACAGTCAATAAAAATTCCTACTTTCTATAATATAGTTATAATGCAAATAATAAACTAACTCTTTCTCTTTCTTTACAACTTCTAATTCTTCTCGAGCTTTTACTTCGTCGTCGCTTTCTCAATAGCTACTGTGGTCTTCCGTCCTTCTTTTATTTGTAAGTCCAGGTGGTTCAACAGCTTGTTGCGAGCTTAATTTTGGATCAGTTAAATGATCATGAGCTGATTTGCTCTTACCACTAATCTCTTTATTTAATTTCACAGATTCTTCTTCATCTTCCTCTGCTTCTTCACCAAATGATAAAAGATTGAAATCTCTGTAACAAAATTTTTCATTGCAAAGAATAATACTATCAGGGCCAAATTCTGCAAACATATGTGATTTTTACTTTACTGCTGCTTTTTTCGTTTTTGAACTATCCTTTACTTTTTCACTTTCCTGTACTATTATTCTTGGTACAATATCAGAAAATGGGTTGTACAATATTATAGTTTTTATCAAACTTGGAGGATAAAGTGGTCTATCAGTCTACAAAAAAGAGGAAATATTATATTTATTCTTGTTATATATATATTCTTATATAACAAGATATATTCTTATATCAAGATATATTGCTTATATAGCAAGTTATATATTCTTGCAAACATTAAATTTACCTCATCTACAAGTGCTTCTTCGAGTTTAAGCATGTTACATATTGTTTCTTCAGTAAATTTACCAATGATTTTATGTTTATTCTGCACGTCTGATGTAGACCTAAGAGTAAAGAAGAATTGGGAACCATTGTCATCTTTTCCAGAATTAGCCATAGCAATTAAATCTCGTCGACAAAAACGTAATCTTGTATGAAATTTGTCCTAAAACACATATATCCAATAATTATTTTTGAATAAAAAAGGAATTCATTTTATTTTTAAATATAGTCTCACTTTAAATGGTTCTCCATATATTTTACCAGCTTTTCTTGTACTTGTGGGATCACCACCCTGTGCGTGAAATTTCTACGTGCCTTTGGAGTTTCTTTTGCAGATAATTCTGACCCAATATCACCAACAATTGTTTTCATTACAACCTAGTTATAACAAATATATTAGTTTGATTAATGTAAAATATTTTTAAAATCAAAATTATTAAAATTTATTATTTATTATTGTAATTCAAATTAGAAATTATTTAATATATTAATATAGAAATTTGGAAAGTAAATATTGTATAACGGTTAAATTTTTAAAAACAGATATACAATTCATTGAAATATTATTAACTAATACTTATTACTTTGCCCTTAGTGGCTGACTCTTGCATATAAATATTACTCATGTTGGTAATGCTCCTATAATAAAAGAAATCTTTCATCAATAATATTTCATATTAAATCTTTAATTATTTACAAATCAATCAACCAAATGGTTCTCGAATAATGATCAGCAGGTAAGACGTACCTTTTACCTCCTTTTAATGCTGCCTTTATTAGCCCAACCAATTCTATGTGCCACAGCCCCACGATTCCTGCTGCTTCTATAGTTTCCAAGTTCTTATAGATATTTCAACACATTTCTGCCTTAATGCAACATTTATACTGTATATTCCATTTATCTTTAACTTTTATAACTATTACCAAGTGTTCATATTCCATCTCTTCAATGATCCTTATGTTTGCATGTCCATGCCACACATCCTTCTCTGTTAATACATATGCTGCCCCCTCCTGTTTCTTGATTCGACATAATATGTGTTTCTTCCACTCAGTGCTTTCATTCAAACCTCTCTTTTCTTTATACACCTTAGCTTCATCATTCTGAAACTTAACACATTAGCGATGATCATTGACTTTCACCACAGATATAAATAACTATTTAGATCAGGAGAAAAACATACCTTTAAATCTCACTGTATTCTCTATACTTATAGTTGTTACAATAGACCATCACCCAAATTCATTCCATTCCTTTTTGGCTGCCTAAACCACCTCCATTTTTTGAATCTTTATTTGACCAACAAAGATTTCTATTCTGTATGCTATATGGATAGCCGACCTACAATTCAATAGACATATCATAACTTAATTATATGTATTGCTGCTTCAACTTCTTTTCGCTTTTAAATTTAATTCTTGGCATATCATGACACAAAGTTGATGATATTCCACGAGTCCAATATTTCTCTACTGTTGCACATGGTCGTTTATTTTTACACAATATGGTCTTGAACATGCCCCACACTGTTATACCTCACAAACGTAATCAAAAAGCCTAAAATCCAAGAAAGAACGAGAAAAGTCAATTGCGCAGCACGATTTCACAGCCACTGTCACATTCGGCACCATTTTAGGAAAACGCACGCTCGAAACCGAAAAAAAATATCCAATCCCGTTACAGAAAACTCTCCTCTACGCTGTTATATAGAAGAAACCTAATCGGAAAGCCTAATTTCGAAGAAAGAAGCGAGAAAAGTCAATTGCGCAGCACGATTTCACAGCCACTGTCACATTCGGCACCATTTTAGGAAAACGCACGCACGAAACCGAATAAAAATATCCATTCCCGTTACAGAAAACTCTCCTCTACGCTGTTATATAGAAGAAACCTAATCGGAAAGCCTAATTTCGAAGAAAGAAGCGAGAAAAGTCAATTGCGCAGCAGGATTTCACAGCCACTGACACATTCGGCACTATTTTAGGAAAATGCACGCACGAAACCAAAAAAAAATATCCAATCCCGTGACAGAAAATTCTCCTCTACGCTGTTATATGGAAGAAACCTAATCGAAAAGCCTAATTTCGAAGAAAGAAGCGAGAAAAGTCAATTGCGCAGCAGGATTTCACAGCCACTGACACATTCGGCACTATTTTAGGAAAACGCACGCACGAAACCGAAAAAAAATATCCAATCTCGTTACAGAAAATTCTCCTCTACGCTGTTATATGGAAGAAACCTAATCGAAAATCCTAATTTCGAAGAAAGAAGCGAGAAAAGTCAATTGCGCAGCACGATTTCACAGCCACTGACACATTCGGCACTATTTTAGGAAAACGCACGCACGAAACCGAAAAAAAATATCCAATCCCGTTACAGAAAATTCTCCTCTACGCTGTTATATGGAAGAAACCTAATCGAAAAGCCTAATTTCGAAGAAAGAAGCGAGAAAAGTCAATTGCGCAGCACGATTTCACAGCCACTGACACATTCGGCACTATTTTAGGAAAACGCACGCACGAAACCGAAAAAAAATATCCAATCTCGTTACAGAAAATTCTCCTCTACGCTGTTATATGGAAGAAACCTA